GGGTATACATAATATAAGGAGCCCCCGGTGGCACAGTAGGTTAAACTGCTGAGCTGCTGAACTTGGTAACCAAAAGGTTGGCAGGGTGAGCTCCCGCTGTTAGCCCCAACTTTTGCCAACCTAGCAGTTCGAAAACATGCAAATGTGAGTAGATCAATAGGTGCTTCTCCGGCGGGAAGATGAGAGCGCTCCATGCAGTCATGCCAGTGGCCACATGACCTTGGAGGCATCTACAGACAACGCAGGCCCTTGGACCTAGAAATGGCGACGAGCACCAGAGTCCCAGAGTGGGACTTGACTGGACTTAATGTCAAGGGGAAACCTTTACCTTTACTACTTATAATAAAAGTGAAAATGTGTGTGTGTGGTGGAGGTGCCCACTCACACAGACAGCCACCGGCCTCCACAAACAGGCTATGCCAATGTCCTCCCCAAACATCCCAGGGTTACTTGTGTGAAATTTGCATGACCCCCCCCCCCCCACTGCCTATCCTTTAACAGATTGGAGGGGTTCGAGGGACTGACTTAACAGGATGGAAGTTGTAGTTCACTCTGCATCAAAGCATATCACTGTAATAATGGACATGGGCCACATTTGGCACACATAACCCCTATGGCCAGGTTTGGGGGGAATTGTCCTTGATTATAGGAGTTGTAGTTCATCTAAATACAGAGAGCACTGAACCCAACCAACAATGGATCTGAACCAATCTTGCCATGGATGACGGGACTTGCAGTACCTTCACTCAATTCCAGAGACCAATGCGACCCACACGCGTGACAGATCAGGACCACACTTGACACACAGAGCCCCCATATATCTTGGTGAAGTTTGGAGGAGGAAGGACCACAGATGATGGGATTTGCAGTACCTTCAACCAATTCAGCTCCCACAGACCACTGCGACCCCCCCCCCCCCCCCCCCCCCCCCCCCGTATGACAGACCTGTACCAAACTTGGCACACAGACTCTCCATGAGGCACTTTATGTCCTGGAGAGGGTTGGGAGAGGATGGGCCACAGACAGTGGGATTTGCAGTATCTTCACTCACTTCCAGAAACCACTATGACCCCCACAAATGATGCACCTGGACCAAATTTGGCACAGAAACTCTCCATGATGCACTTTATGGTGGGGATATTGGGGATAGATGAACCAGGGATGATGGGCATTGCTCACTCACTTCCACAGACCACAGTGATCCCCACGAATGATGAGCCTGGATCAAAATTGGGACACAAAACCCCCATGATCAACAGAACATACTGGAGGGGTTTGGGGGACTGACTCACCTGCATGGGAATTATAGTTTACCCTGCACCAAACATGGCACACAGAATCCTGGTGATCATCAGAACACATTAGAGGTGTTTATGGGGGACCAACCCCCCTTTGTAGGAGTTGTAGTTCACCCTGCATACAGAGCACTCTGAACCCTCTCAATAATGGATCTGGACCAAACTTGGCACACAGACTCAACATGCCTAACTGTGAATATAGGCGGGAGTTTGGGGATGATTGCCCTCGGAATCTGGGAGTTGTATTTCACTTGCATCCAGAGAAACTATGACTCCCACTAACGATAGACCGGGACCAAACTTGGCATTGAGAAGCCCCATGATCAACTGAACATACTGCAGGGGTTTGGGGAAAATGACCTTGATTTTAGTTCACCTGCATCCCAAGAGCACTCAATCCAGCTGACAACTGATCTGGAACACACTTGGCACATACACCCAACATGGCCAACTGTAAATACTGGCAGAATTTGGGGGTGACAGCCCTTGGCATATGGGAGTTGTAGTTCACCCTTATCCAGAAAGCACTGAAGTCCGCCGATGACAGATCTGGACCAAATATGGCACACTGTACTTACAGGCCTGGTTTGGGGAGGATTGACCCACGATTCTGGTAATTGTAGTTCACCCACATCCTTATGCATCTTCTAATGGGAGCATTCATAAACAACGAAACCAAAGACTGGCTTTTTCCTAATAAATAGTGTTACTAATTAACTAAATGGTATTACCTAACACCCCAAAACAAACAATACAGGCCTGGTTTGGGAAGGGTTGACCCATGATTCTGGGAATTGTAGTTCACCCACATCCTTATGCATCTTCTAATGGGAGCATTCATAAACAACGAAACCAAAGACTGGCTTTTTCCTAATAAATAGTGTTACTAATTAACTAAATGATATTACCTAACACCCCAAAACAAACAATACATTTTTCAAATCTGGGTACCGCTGAGTACCCAAGCTAGGATAAATCAAAACGGATAACGTCTCCTTGGTTTTGTTTAATCTAAAACAGGATATGGGAATTAAATGCATGGCAAGCCATGCAAACATGGCTTCAGTTATTGAAAATGTTTTAATAAAAATAGTTAAAATAATAATATTTATATATTATATTGACATTATTATATTCACTGTTAAGTTATATTATATTGACATTATTATATTACACTTGTATATTATCTGGTTTTTCATTATTATGTAAGCCATCCCTTGCCGCACGCAACGCGTGGTCCAGCCTGGTGATCTGGAAAATGTTGGTTTCTAATATACCGGGATTGTGGCGCAGCTGACTGAGTGTCAGCTGCATTAAGATCACTCTGACCAAAAGGTCATGAGTTCGAAGCCAGCCCGGGCTGGAGTGGGTGTCCAGCCATTGTGTAGCCTGTTGTCGACCTTTGCAACCCAAAAGACAGTTGCATCTGTCAAGTAGGAAAATAAGGTACCACCTTGTGTGGGAGGCTAAATTAACTAATTTATGAGGCCATAAAGAAAACTCCGGGATGTGGAATGCGGAAGAACTTCATCGGTGTCGCTGACGGACAATGAAAGCAGCAGTTCCCCTGGCAGCCAGAAAAAAGTTAAATAGCCTCTGTGTATTGTCTGTATTCGTTGTCTGTCAAACTGGCATTGAATGTTTGCCATATATGTGTATATTGTAATCCGCCCTGAGTCCCCTGCGGGGTGAGAAGGGCGGAATATAAAAACTGTAAATAAATAAATATCATTTCTTTATTCTTGTGTTGATGTGGAGATTGTCTGGTTTGCCTACTCTGGAACATGCAACATACAATTGTCCTTGTTTAGAGGTCCGTGTCAAATCTATGATACTATATCTCACTGTGTGCGAATCCTATCTATCTATCTATCTATCTATCTATCTATCTATCTATCTATCTATCTATCTATATCTATTGCTGGATGGCTCTTTGTCAGGAGGGCTTTATGTTTTCTTGCCCTGGTGAAGGGAGTTGGACCGGATGACCTTAAGTATTTTCGGTTGGTCATGGGGGTTCTGTGTGGGAAGTTTGCTCCAATTCTGTCGTTGGTGGGGTTCAGAATGCTCTTTGATTGTAGATGAACTATTTATTTATTATTTATTTAGCAATTTTGTATACCGGTCTTCTCCCCTCTATCGGGGGACTCGGGCTGGTTTCCAACAATAATATCTCAAAACAATAATTAAAAACGTCATATAACATGTTCAATTAAAACGTTAAAACAGCACTATACATCCCAGTAACAACAACTCCCAAATGTCAAGGTCTATTTTCCCCAAACTCCATCTGTGTTCATATTTGGGCATACGGAACATTCTTGCCAAGTTTGGTCCAGATGCATCATAGTTTGAGCCCACAGTGCTCTCTGGATGTAGGTGAACTACAACTCCCAAACTCAAGGTCAATGCCTACCAACCCCTTCTAGTGTTTTCTGATGGTCATGGCAGTCCTGTGTGTCACTTTTGGTTCAATTCCATTTATGATGGAGTTCAGAATGCTCTTTGATTGTAGGTAAACTATAAATCCCAGCAATGACAACTCCCAAATGACAAAATAAATTTTTTTGAGTGATGGTCGCTCCTTGGGTTAGTAGGTGTCTTGCGGCCAAATTTGGTGGCAATTCACCCAGTGGTTTTTGGGTTATGTTAATCCCACAAACGAACATTACATTTTATGTTACATTTATTTATTTATAGATAGACTAGCTTGGGGACCCAGCAATGCCTAGTTACTTGAGAAAGGCATTGTTTGTTTGTGAAGTCTGGTTATATCAGTTTGATCATATGTCACGCTATTTCTTAGAGGAAAAAATCAGTATTTGCTTTTGTATTTCATGAATGCTCCCCTCTCCCACCCCCCCCCCCCCCCCCCCCCAAAATCTCTCCAGTATTTTTTGTTGTTTATCAGTGTCTGTGTGCCAAATTTAGTCCAGGTCCATGCCAGCAAGGACTGAAGACTGACAGGTCGCATGTTCGAACCCGGGGAGAGGCGGATGAGCTCCCTCTATTAGCTCCAGCTCCTCATGCGGGGACATGAGAGAAGCCTCCCACAAGGATGATAAAACATCAAAAATCATCCAGGCGTCCCCTGGGCAACGTCCTTGCAGACGGCCAATTCTCTCACAACAGGAGCGGTTGCTCCTGACACGACAAAAAAAAAAAGTCTTTCCATGATGTTCCGTTCGTCATGGGGGGGTCTGTGTGCCAAGTGTGGCCCAGGTCTGTCATGCATTAGGGCTGTAGTGGTCTTTGAAAGTGAGTGAACATACTGCACATCCCATCTTCCATGGTCCATCCTCCCTCAAACTGCAACAGGACATAAAGTGGGTGTGGTTCATCAGTGTTCTGTGTTCCAAGTTTGGTCCAATTCCAACTTTGGTGACGTTCAGAGTGCTCTTCAATTGCAGGTGAACTATACATCCCAGTACCTACATCTATCTATACACATAATAAAAGTGAAAATGTGTGTATGTATTATAATTATAATACAATAAATAAAAATCAAATATCATTCCATTAAAATATTGAAATAAATCCAGAATTTATTTTAAATAATAACAATAATAATAAAATTAATAAGTAAAGTAATATAAAAGGACCTTTGCTGTAATTAAATGGTCCTTTTAATTGGAAAGCCTTAGGTGTGTGTATATATGTGTGTGTGTGTATAATTTTTAATTTTATTTCATTTTATTAAAGGTGAAACAAATAATGGAAGAAGCCGTTACCAGGAAGTTCGTCCATGAAGACAGCAGCCATATTATTTCCTTCTGCGGTAATTATTTAATTTAATTGTATTGTATTTTTATGATACTTCATTTTATTGATGGGAAGCTTCCCACTGGAGTGGAAATCATATATTGGACAGATAGGGGTCACAACAACATATGCTGTTGATAATGTGGTCTGTCTGCATTCAGAAGAAGGCCTACAAGCCACTCTAAACACTTTTGCAGAAGCATACAAAAAGCTCGGCCTGTCACTGAGCATCAAGAAAACCAAAGTGCAGGCACCACCCAATCCCTCTGCAATGCCAGAAATACAGCTTAATGGTGTAACATTAGAAAATGTGGACCATTTCCGCTCCCTTGGCAGCCACCTTCACAAAAGTCAACATTGACACTGAAATACAACACCGCCTGAGCTCTGCGAGTGCAGCATTTTTCTGAATAAAGCAGAGAGAGTTTGAGGACCGGGATATCCATAGGGATACCAAGGTACTTGTTTCTAAAGCCATTCCCCTCCCAACCCTGTTCTATGCCTGCAAAATGTGGATTGTCTATATATGTCACAATCAACTCCTGGAACGATTCCATCAGCGTTACCTCTGAAAAATCCCACAAATCTCTTGGGAAGATAGGCGGACAAATGTCAGCGTGCTGGAAAAAGAAGCAGTGACCGCTAGCATTGCTCCTATGCCATCAACTTCACTGTGCTGAAGGCCATGTTGTCTGAATGCCCAAAGATCACCGTCTCTCAAAACAGTTACTCTCCTCCCAACTCAAGAACAGAAAAAGGAATGTTGGTGGGCAGGAAAAGAGATGTAAAGATGGGCTCAAAGCCAACCTGGAAAGACCAGGGTGGGCCATCAAATGCTAATCAAGGTGGTCAGTTGAAACATTCACACCTAGCTCCAACAGACAATAGTCCTTTGTCCCACCCTGGTCATTCCACAGATATATAAACCCATTTTCCTACTTCCAACAGACCTCACTACCTCTGAGGATGCTTGCCATAGATGCAGGCGAAACGTCAGGAGAGAATGCCTCTAGAACATGGCCATATAGACCGAAAAAACTTACAACAACCCAATAATAATAGAATAAAATAATAAACATAATAAAAACAATACAGTAAAATAATAAATGTAACAGTAACAATAATAGAGCAAAATAATAAATGTACGAATATCAACAACAATAAAATAATAAATGTAATAATAATAATAATAACAACAACAAAGTAAAATAATAAATAATACTGACTCTAGTATAAGCTGAGGGAGACTTTTTCAGCCTAAAAAAAAGGACTGAAAAACTAGGCTTATACTCGAGTATATACAGTAAGTAAGTAAACTTTAATATACGGATCCCAGTGTGTCTTTTCTATAATGTGTGGCCCAAGGTATTGGTTTCTCTCTTTCTAGTACATGACTAGCGGTCTCCTGCCACACGTTGCTGTGGCCCAGTCTGATGATCTGGAAAATAAAGTAATGAGAAAGTGTTGGTTTCTAATATATGTAATGTCTTGATGTTTGTGGGTAAACAGTATTTCTTGCTGTTTCTTTGTCAGTGTTGATGTGGAGATTGTCTGGTTTGCCTACTCTGGAACATGCAACATATCATTGTCCTTCTTTAGGGGTCCCTTTCAAATCTTTGATACTGCATCTGTCATATACATATATGTGTGTGTGTGAATGACTGGATGGCCCTTTGTCAGGAGGGCTTTAATTATGTTTTCTTGCTCTGGTGAAGGGAGTTGGACTGGATGGCCTTAAGGCAGCATTTCTCAACCTGGGAAGTCAAGACCTGGGGGGGGGCGCTAGGGGGTGTCAGAAGGGTCTCCAAAGACCACCAGAAAACACAGTATTTTCTGTTGGTCATGAGGGTTCAGTATGGGAAGTTTGGCCCAATTCTTTCATTGGTGGGGTTCAGAATGCTCTTTGATTGTAGGTGAACTATAAATCCCAGTAACTACAACTCTCAAATGTCAAGGTCTATTTCCCCCCAAACTCCATCTGTGTTCATATTTGGGCATATTGAGTAGTGCCAAGTTTGGTCCAGATCCATCATTGTTTGAGTCCACAGTGCTCTCTAGATGTAGGTGAACTACAACTCCAAAACTCAAGGTCAATGCCCACCAAACCCTTCTAGTGTTTTCTGTTGGTCAGGGGAGTCCTGTGTGCCAAGTTTGGTTCAATTCCATCGTTGGTGGAGTTCAGAATGCTCTTTGATTGTAGGTGAACTATAAATCCCAGCAACTACAACTCCCAAATGACAAAATCATAATTTTTGAGTGATGGTCACTCCTTGTGTTGTGAGACGTTTTGTTGCCAAATTTGGTGTGATTTCGTTCATTGGTTCTTTTGTTTTTAAGGTACTCATTACGCACAGAGCATTTATATATATATATAGCTGTGCCCTGCCACGCGTTGCTGTGGCCTATAGTAAAACTTATCAAAGTTGAGGTAGATATCTGGACTATTATGAAAGAGAGGTACCTACCTATTCCTCCCCCTTTTCCTCCCCCTTTCTCTCCTTTCTTCCTTCTCTACCTCTTTCTTTCTTTCCTTCTTTCACTCTTGGTTTCATCCTTCTCTCTTTCCTTCATTCCCTCCCCCTTTCTTCCTTTGCCTTTCTTCCCTCCCTGTTTGCTTCCTTCTTTCACTTTTTATTTCCTTTTATTTCCCACCATCATAACAATAACAATAATGCAATGCATTGCCTCTGGGACCTGACACCTCTCCCATTCCCCCTAAAAGGGTCTCATAGGAAGAATAATAGCATAATAATAATAGAAATAACAACCTTTACCCGCCACGTGTTGCTGTGGCCAACCTTCCCTCTTTCTCTCCTTCCTTCCTTCCTTCCTTCCTTCCTTCCCTCCCATCTTTCCTTCTCCTCTTCCTTCTCTATCTCTTTCCTTCCTTCCCCCTTTTTCTTTCTCTTCTGGTCTCTTTTCTTCCTTCTCTCTTTCCTTCTTTCCTTCCCTCCCTCTTTCTCTACATCTTCCCCCTTCCTTCACTCCCTCTTTCCTCCCTTCATTCCCTTTTTTCTTCTCTCCTTCCTTCCTTCCTTCCCCCTTTTTCTTTCTCTTCTGGTCTCTTTTCTTCCTTCTCTCTTTCCTTCTTTCTTCCCTCCTCTTTCTCTACATCTTCCCCTTCCTTCCTCTCCCTTCTTTCCTTCCTTCTTCCCTTTTTTCTTTCCTTCTCTCCTTCCTTCCTTCCCCCTTTTTCTTTCCCTCCCTCTGTCTCTCATTTCTTCCTTCTCTACCTCTTTCCTTCCTTCCCCCTTTTCTTTCTCTTCTGCTGTCTCTCTTTTCTTTCCTTCCATCTTTCCTTTTCTTTTTTCTTCTTCCTTCTTTCTCTAACTTTCCTTCCTTCCCCCTTTTTCTTTACCTCCCTTTCTCTTTCTTCCTTCTTTCCTTCCTTCCTGTCTTTCCTGGATTTTGACAGGGCGGGAAGGGGCGGGGTGGGGTTTGGAGGTGGCGTGAAGTAAAAGGAGGTAAGATTGGGGCAGGGGAGTGATGGAGCGTGGGGTTGTGTGTGTGTGGGCGGCGGGGGGAGTGATGGAGCGTGGGGTTGCGTGTGTGTGCGGCGGGGGGAGTGATGGGGCGTGGGGTTGTGTATGGGTTTGGAGGTGGCGTGAAGTAAAAGGAGGTAAGATTGGGGCAGGGGAGTGATGGAGCGTGGGGTTGTGTGTGTGTGTGTGGCGGCGGGGGGAGTGATGGAGCGTGGGGTTGTGTGTGTGTGCGGCAGCGGGGGAGTGGGGTGTGGTGGGGGGAGTGATGGAGCGTGGGGTTGCGTGTGTGTGGCGGGGGGAGTGATGGAGCGTGGGGTTGGTGTGTGTGGGGCGGCGGGGGGGGGGGGTGCGTGTGTGTGTGCGGCAGCAGGGGAGTGATGGAGCGTGGGGTTGCGTGTGTGTGCGGGCGGTGGGGGGAGTGATGGAGCGTGGGGTTGGTGTGTGTGCGGCGGCGGGGGGAGTGGGGTGGCGTGTGTGAGGGGGCGTGGGGTTGTGTGTGTGCGGCGGCGGGGGAGTGATGGAGCGTGGGGTTGCGTGTGTGTGTGCGGCGGGGGGAGTGTGGAACGTGGGGTTGTGTGTGTGTGTGCGGGGGAGGGGTGTGTGTGTGCGGTGGTGGGGGAGTGATGGAGCGTGGGGTTGCGTGTGTGTGTGCGGCGGCGGGGGGAGGGATGGAGCATGGGGTTGCGTGTGTGTGTGCGGCAGCCAGGGGAGTGATGGAGCGTGGGCTGTGTGCACGCCCAGGGAACTTGCAGCTGGGCGCCAATGCGCATGCTCATTTGTTTTGCCGTATTGTGAGTGTGTTGTTGTGTTGTTTTTCATTTTGAGTAGATATGTTTGTACCTTGTTGGTTGTGTTATGGGCATGGGAATTTTGGTTAAGTTTTGTTGGTTTTTTTTTTTAGTTTTGTTGTTTTGCCGTTTTGTGAGTGTGTTGTTGTGTTGTTTTTCATTTTGAGTAGATATGTTTGTACCTTGTGGGTTGTGTTATGGGCATGGGAATTTTGGTTAAGTTTCGTTGGGGTTTTTTGAGTTTTGTTGTTTTGCCGTTTTGTGAGTGTGTTGTTGTGTTGTTTTTCCTTTTGAGTAGATATGTTTGTACCTTGTGGGTTGTGTTATGGGCATGGGAATTTTGGTTAAGTTTCGTTGTTTTTTTTGAGTTTTGTTGTTTTGCCGTTTTGTGAGTGTGTTGTTGTGTTGTTTTTCATTTTGAGTATATATGTTTGTACCTTGTGGGTTGTGTTATGGGCACGGAGATTTTGGTTAAGTTTCGTTTGGGGGATTTTTGAGTTTTGTTGTTTTGCCGTTTTGTGAGTGTGTTGTTGTGTTGTTTTTCATTTTGAGTAGATATGTTTGTACCTTGTGGGTTGTGTTATGGGCATGGGAATTTTGGTTAAGTTTCGTTGGGGGGTTGTGGAGTTTTGCTGTCCCGTTGAACCAACCTAACAGATTTATATATATAGATACATACAGCTAAACAGTATGTGTGTGATGTTTTCTTCCTCTGATGCCCCACAGATACAAAATGGTTCATTATTTGGAACTTGGTTAAATCTTCCCTGTTTGACCGTTGTATCCAGCTGTTCAAATCTCCTTCTGGTCAATACCCTCCCGAGGTGTTTAGCCATTTCTGTCTTTAGATGTTGGGCTGTTTGGAAAGTATGTTTACAATGACTTTAGCCAGCTTTACTGAGGGTAGCTATGCCTTTCTGAGCTTCTCTATCCAGTATTTGTTGTGCAACCCTTTTTGGATCTAATTCTTCTAAGAGATTTGGATATAGAAACAGAAGTCCACAACTCCTAATGTGTTTTGTCATTTGAACTAGCCAAGAGGTCTTATGTTGATTTTTTCCCTGCTCTAACAGGCACAGTTTTGATAGTCCATCATTTGCCATGGCGTTAGATTTTACCAAGTAGTTATATCTTGGGTAGTAACAGGAATAGATAATGTAATATAATAATTATTATTATATTGCCAAAGGCTTTCATGGCCAGAATTACTGGGTTGTTGTACATTTTTGGGCTGTATGGCTATGTTCCAGAAGCATTCTCTCCTGGAGAGAATGCTTCTGGAACATGGCCATTCAACGCAAAAAATTTACAACAACCCAAGAATTATTTTATTTATTTTTATATATATATATATATATATATATATATATATATATATATATATATATATATATAAATGCTCTGTGCATAATGAGTACCTTTAAAAAAAAAGAACCAATGAACAAAATCACACCAAACTTGGCAACAAAACGTCTCACAACACAAGGAGTGACCATCACCCAAAAAATTATGATTTTGTCATTTGGGAGTTGTAGTTGCTGGGATTTATAGTTCACCTACAATCAAAGAGCATTCTGTACTCCACCAATGATGCAATTGAACCAAACTTGACACACAGAACTCCCCTGACCAACAGAAAACACTAGAAGGGTTTGGTGGCCATTGACCTTGAGTTTTGGAGTTGTAGTTTACCTACACCTAGAGAGCACTGTGGACTCAAACAATGATGGATCAGGGCCAAACTTGGCACAAGCACTCAATACGCCCAAATATGAACACAGATGGAGTTTGGGGAAAATAGACCTTGACATTTGGGAATTGGAGTTACTGGGATTTATAGTTCACCTACAATCAAGGAGCATTCCAAACCTCACCAACGATGGAATTGGGCCAAACATCCTACACAGAACCCCCATGACCAACAGAAAATACTGTGTTTTCTGGTGGTTTTTGGTGACCCTTCTGACACCCCCTTGGTGACCCCCCCCCCCCCGGGTCTTCCCAGGTTGAGAAATGCAGCCTTAAGGTCATGCAGTCCAACTCCCTTCACCAGAGCAAGAAAACATAATTAAAGCCCTCCTGACAAAGGGCCATCCAGTCATTCACACACACACATATATGTATATGACAGATGCAGTATCAAAGGCGGATGAGCTCCCTCTATCAGCTCCAGCTCCTCATGCGAGGACATGAGAGAAGCCTCCCACAAGGATGATAAAAACATCAATTCATCCGGGCGTCCCCTAGGCAACGTCCTTGCAGATGGCCAATTCAATTCAATTGCAGTTTCTCAAGTCGCTCCTGACACGACAAAAAAAAAGTATCAAAGATCTGAAAGGGACTCCTAAAGAAGGAGAATGATATGTTGCCTGTTCCAGAGTAGGCAAACCAGACAATCTCCACATCAACAGTGGCAAGGAAACAGCAAGAAATACTGTTTACCCACAAGCATCAAGACATTACATAGATTAGAAACCAGCACTTTCTCATTACGTCATTTTCCAGATCACCAGACTGGGCCACAGCAATGCGTGGCAGGGGACCGCTAGTTATAATATAAAGGAGAATATCCAGTATTCTCCTCTAAAGAACTATAATAATAATAATAATAATTATTATTATTATTAGTATTATTAGTATTATTAGTATTATTAGTATTATTAGTATTATTAGTATTACTAGTATTACATGGGCAGTTCCTTGACAATATTGAAGGAAAAATTGACAAGGAGAAGACCTGGTTATGGGAAGTGAGTTCCAGAGCCCCGGGGGGGGGGGGGGGTCACCACAGAGAAGGCATCTCTTTCGTCCCCGCAAGTTGCACCTGTGATGCGGGCGGGAGCGAAAGAAGGGCCTCTCCAGAGGATCGAAGGGATCATGTGGGTTCGTAGATGGAAATACGGTCGCACAGGTAGGAGGGTCCCAAAATGTTCAGGGCTTCGTAGGTCAAGACCTACACCTTGAATTGGGCCCGGTAGATAAACGGCAGCCAGTTGAGCTCCTTAAACAGAAGGGTTGACCGCTCTCTGTAATTTGCTCCAGTTAATAGTCTGGCTGCCGCCCGTTGGACCAGTTGGAGTTTCCGGGCCATCTTCAAGGCCAGCCCCACGTAGAGAGCCTTGCAACAGTCCAATCTAGAGGTAACTAAGACGTGGACCACCGTGGCCAAATCCGACATATCCTCAGCTGCTGCAAGAAAACTGCACAGACTACAAACAGAGGCACAACTCTGTAGTCCAAATGATTCATTGGAACTTATATCACAAGTACCACCTGCCAGCAGTCATGCAGTCATAAACCTGCAAAGGGAATGGAAAATGAACATGCAAAAATACTGTGGGATTTTTGAAGCCAAACTGACAAAGTTTTGGAACACAATACACCAGACATCACAATGGTGGAAAAGTAAAAAGTTTGGGTTATTGATGTTGCCATACCAGGTAACAGTCGAATTGACGAAAAACGACTTCAAAGGCTCTGGCATAAACTAGTGTCATTGGTGCACTGGGTGCCATGCCAAAAGATCTCAGCTGGCGTTTGGAAACAATAAACATTGACAAAATCATGATCTGCCAACTGCAAAAGGCTTGGATCTGCGTGCATCATTTGAAAATATACCACACAGTCCTAGACACTTGGGAAGTGTTCAACTTGTGATTTTGGGATACAAAATTGAGCATATAGATCTCGTTTGCTGTGACATACTGTGTTTTTGTGTCAATAATAATAATAATAATGGATACTGTTAAAAATAAGTAAAAATAAATAAACAATAATAACAATAAATTGATAATAATAGTAATATAATATAATAATAAACAAACACATAATAATATTCAATATAATTATTAATAATAATAATACATTAGTAATAATAATAATAATAATACGCCTTTTCTGTAGCGGCGGTGGAGGCTTGCATCTTGCATGGGCTGAAGCGCCGTGCGGCGGGATTCCTGCGCAGCAACAAGATGGCGGCCCTTTTCCTGAAGGCCGGGAAGAGCTTCCCTCCCGCAGAAGAGCTCTGCCGAAAAGTCCAGGGCTTTGAGCAGGCCATCGAGAACATGTACGTACTTTTTTTGTGAATATTTTCATTAATATTTCTGCAAATCTTTTAAATATTTTGTAAATTTTTCTCTGAATATTTCTGTGAATATATTTATTTATTTATTTATTATTTATTTGATACACTTGTATACCGCTAATATCTCAGCCTAGAACGGCGACTCATTGCGGTTTACAGCAGTTAAAACAATCTACAATTTAAAAACATATATACATATAATAACAAATTCAATAACAAATTATTGGGCCACCAATAATAATCCCATATATCTCGAGTTGAAATCGCAATCCAGAATTCGTTGTCCATGTTTCCTGTCCTTAGTCATCAATATTCGAATTGCCACAGATTAGCCGAATGCTTGTTTGAACAGCCATGTTTTGAGTCTCTTCCTAAACACCATCAGCGAAGAGGCTGATCGTACCTCTATAGGGAGGGTGTTCCAAAGCCGGGGGGCCACCACAGAGAAGGCCCTATCTCTCGTTCCCGCCAGCCGCACTTCTGAAGCTGGAGGGATAGAGAGAAGGGACTCTCCGGAAGATCTTAGGGTCCTGGTGGGCTGATAGGCTGAGATACGTTCGGATAGATAAGTTGGGCCAGAACCGTTTAGGGCTTTAAAGGCCAAGGCCAGCACTTTGAATTGAGCCCGGTAGCAGATCGGCAGCCAGTGGAGCTGGTGCAGCAGAGGAGTTGTATGCTCCCTGCGCTCCGCTCCTGTTAGTATCATGGCTGCCGAGCGTTGGACTAATTGGAGCTTCCGGACTGTCTTCAAAGGCAACCCCACGTAGAGAGCGTTGCAGTAATCAAGGCGGGATGTAACCAGAGTGTGGACTACCGTAGCTAAGTCAGACTTCCCAAGGTACGGTCGCAGTTGGCGCACAAGTTTTAATTGTGCGAAGGCTCCCCTGGTCACCGCCGAAACCTGGGGTTCCAGGCTCAGCGATGAATCCAGGATCACCCCCAAACTGCGAACCTGTGTCTTCAGGGGGAGTGCGACCCCGTCTAACACAGGCTGTAAACCTATACCCTGTTCGGCCTTACGACTAACCAGGAGTACCTCTGTCTTGTCTGGATTCAATTTCAATATTTCTGAATATTTTAGAGTATTTTTTGAATATTTTTGATTATTTATGTAAATGATTTTATGAATATATATTTGTAAATATTTCTGTAAATATTAGCATGAATCTGTTTTTCTTAATTTTTATGAATATTTTATTATTATTTCTGTGTTCATTTCCTGGAATATATTTTTGTGAATTATTTTTGTGAATATTTTTGTGAATATTTTTGTGATTATTTCTATGAATATAGCTTCACTTCACTTTATTTCTTAATTAGTCGCTCTCCACCAAGGTGCTCCGAGTGACTTACAATTTAAAATAGCATTTACACAATATAAAAACATTCAACATAAAAACATTCAACAGTGACTATTTGGCAAATTAGATCTGATCACTTTACTTAAATGCACAACCAAACAGCCAAGTCTTGAGTGCCTTTACAAAAGGTCGCAACTCCGACATTGCTCTAATGTATGGAAGCAATGAGTTCCACAGAATTGGAGCATAGGTCGAAAAAGCTCTATGCCTTGTAGCTTCCAGGTGTACCTCCTTAGGGCCCGGTATGTATAGGAGATTTAACGTTGGCAGTATTTCTGCAAATATTTTTATGAATGTATTTTTGTAAATATATTTTAGTGAATATTTTTATAAATATTTTATCCATATTTATGCAAATATTTTAGTAATATATTTTTGTAAATGTTTCTTCAAATATTTTTATGAATGTATTTGTGAATATTTTTACAATTATTTCTGCAAATATATCATTTTGTTATTTTTTGATTATATTATGATTTATAATAATAATATATTATTTATATATGTGTGTGTGTGTTTAATTGATTTTTATTTCATTGTTTTATTTATTCATATTTATATTTTTTAAATTATATTTTTAATGCAAAATTCTTCTCTCCTCCAATATTTTAATTTTTAGGCGAAACCAAGGGTCTGGAATGCAGGAAAATGTTCGCAACAAGATGGCAAAATTTCCGAATCTTTCTCCACAAGCCATTCGTCATCTTTGGATCCGGACGGCGCTTTTTGAAAAAGTTCTGGACAAAATTGTTCATCACTTGGTTGAAAACAGCAGGTAATAATTAAATATGTGTATGTGTGTGTGTGTGTGTGTGTGTGTGTGTGTAGCATGCTATGCATTACAATAATTTAAAATTTGAAATTTAATGATTTTTTTTGAAATCGTAAAATTTTAAAAATTTAAATTTTGTTATTTTAAATCTCAAATTTCAGAAATTTTAAATTCCAAAACATCAGCATTCAAATTTGCATTTTCAAATTTCAAATTGAACCTTCAGTCTTATATTGCAAACTATTCATTACAATAATTTTAGAATTTGAAATTTAAAATAGATTTTTTTAAAAAATTCAAATTAAAAAAATGTGAAAATTGAAATTCAAAAAATTTGAAATTTTCAATTATAAATTAGACCTTTCTTCTTTCCTTCCCTCAGTCTGAGACATAATAATTTTAAAATATTAATTTTATCGTAATTTAAAAAATATAAAAGTTTTAATATAAACTATTAAATTATTATGGATCATAAATTCTTATCAATATTATTTAATACTAATATTAAATATTAATCAGTAATAGATCCTAATATTTTATATTTAAAACATTTTATTTCAAAACTAATTATATTTTCATTCGATTAGATAGTAATATTTATTAAAATTTATATGTAATATATTAACATTTGAATTAATGTTTACTAATTAATATTGATATTAAGCATGAACAATTTATATGACTTAATCAACAATATTTATAACAGCAATAATTTAAAAAAATAACAAAATTTTATCTTTAATGGTAATATGGATATTAAATACATATGAATACATCATATTAGTTAATGTTAATATTTCTCTTAAAAATATTAACATAAATAATAAATTACAAATATATATAAATATTTAATTCAAATTTCTTAGTTAATATTATATATTTCTAATATCAGCAACAATACTAATAAATTAATGACTAGAAAATGATAATAAATATTAATTTCAAAATAAATAACAGTATTTTAATAAATATTCTTAATATTCTTTCTGTGCATATTTTCAGGAATATAGTTTTGGGAATATTTCTGCAAACATTTTAAAGAATATATTTTTGTGAAAATTTCTCAAATAACTTTATGAATATATTTTTGAGAATATTTCTGCAAACATTTTTAATGAATATATTTTGTGAATATTCCTGCAAATATTTTTTGTGATTATTTTAATGACTATTTTTGTGAAACGAAACTATCATAAGGCTTAATGGAAGATCCCAATCCAATCCAATATTATTATCCATTATTTGGATGGAGATATATTGATTTTTCTTGTCTTCTGTAGTAAATACTATGAGAAGGAAGCCTTGCTGATGGACCCAGTCGATGGACCGATCCTTGCTTCGTTGCTCGGTAACAAGGACTAATTAATTAATTTCGGCCATCTAGTGTTTAGTATTGTAATTGCAACTTAAGCCAATGCATTTTTTCCAATCTCTTTGGCATTACCGTATATTCCGGCATATAAGACGACTGGGCCTATAAGACGACCCCCCAACTTTTCCAGTTAAAATATAGAATTTGGGATATATTCGCCGTATAAGACCACCCCTCTTCCAATGCACACCAAATAACATTTTTAAAAAATCAGATTTGAATTCAATATGGTAATTTTAATTCAAATGCTTATGACATTCAGGTTCCTATGAGAGGGACATTGTACCTTATATTGTACATTACAGTTGCTCTTCCTCCCTTGAATTTCATTTACACTCTGGGTCCATTACATTATGCTGGCAATAAGTTAAAATAAACAGTTGCATTAAATAATTCTCATTTACAACAATTAAAAAACCAGCTGAAGTAAAGTGTCAAATCAGTTCCCTTTTGCCTTCTCGCAGGCTTCTCCTATTGACGCTGCCTAAAACGTCGTTGGCCTTTTCAGCTGCAGCATCACACTATTGGCTCGTCGTCGACAAAGATTCCTTTCATAGAATCCTAAAGTTGGGAGGGACCTCTAAAGGTCATTTAGTCCAACCCTCTTCATTCTGCTTTCTTGCAGGGAAAGCACAATCAAAGCACTCTCGACAAATGGTTATCCAACCTTAATATTAATATTAATAATAATAGAGTTGTAAGGGAGCTCTAATGGCCATCTCGTCCAACCTCCTTCATTCTGCCATCATGTAGGGAAAGTACAATCAAAGCACCTCTGACAGATGGCCATCCAGCCTGCATAATAATAATAATAATAATAATAATAATAATAATAATAATAATAATAGAGTTGGAAGGGAGCTCTAAAGGCCATCTAGTCAAACCCCCTTCATTCTGCCTTCATGTAGGGCAGTGTTTCTCAACCCTCCTAGTGTGGTGACCCCTTAATACAGTTCCTCATGTTGTGGTGACCTCTAACCATAATATTATTTTTTATTGCTACTTCATACCTGTAATTTAGCTACTGTTATAAACAGTTATGTAAATATCTAATATGCAGAATGTGTTTTCATTCACTGGACCACATTTGGCACAAATACCCGATATGCCCAAATTTGAATACTGGTGGGGTTGGGGAGGATTGATTTTGTCATTTGGGAGTTGCAGTAGCTGGGATTTATAGTTCACCTACAATTAAAAAGCATTCTGAACTCTACCAATGATGGAATTGAACGAAACTTGACACAGAGAGCTACCAAGACCAAAAGAAAATACTGGAAGGGTTTGGTGGGCCCAGATCTTGAGTTTTGGAGTTGTAGTTCACCTATATTCAGAGAGAACTGTGGGCTCAAACAATGATGGGTCTGGACCAAACTTGCCATGAATACTCAATATGCCCAAATGTGAACACTGGTGGAGTCTGGGGAAAATAGACCTTGATATTTGGGAGTTGTAGTTGCTGGGATTTGTAGTTCACCTACAACCAAAGAGCATTCTGAACCCCACCAGCGATAGAATTGGGCCAAACTTCCCACACAGAAGCCCCATGACCAACAGAAAATACTGTGTTTTCTGATGGTCTTTGTTGACCCCTCTGACACCCCCTCTTGACCCCCCCCCAGGGATCCTGACCCCCAGGTTGAGAAACGCTGATGTAGGGAAAGCACCCCAACATATAGCCATCCAGCTTTAATATTAAAATTAATATAATAATAATTGGAAGGGAGCTCTAAAGGCCATGTAGCCCAACCCCCTTCATTCTGCTTCATACAGTGAAAGCACAATCAAAACAGATGGCCATCTAGCCTTAATAATAATAAGAATAATAATAGTAATAGAATTGAAAGGGAGCTCTAAAGGCCATCTGGTAAAACCCCTTTAATTCTGCCTTCATGCAGGAAAAGCACAATAAAAGCCCCCTTGAGAGATGGCCATCCAGCCTTTATATCAATATGAATAATAATAATAATAATAATAATAATAATAATAATAATAATAATAATAATAATAATAATGTTGGAAGGGAATTCTAAAGGCCATCTAGACAAACCCCCTTCCTTTTGCCTTTATGTAGGGAAAGTATAACCAAAGCACCCCTGACAGATGGCCATTCAGGCTTAACACTACTACTAATAATAAGAAGAAAGAGAATAGAGTTGGAAGGGGGCTCTAAAGGCCATGTAGTCCAACCCCCCTTCTGTCTTCATGGAGCAAAAGCAAAAAGTATGGTACCTCCTGGGCCTGGAGGTCAGTCAGTCATTCACGCTGCCTCCCTCCTTCCTGGGCCCAATTGGGGCCAACGGAGCGTCTGGCTCCATCGCGCTGCTCCTGGAGGCCAGTCGATCTCACTGAAAGCCTTGCCGGGAGCAGCAGGGGAGGGCTCGCTCGCTCATCAGTCCTGAAAGTCAGGCAGGCAGGCTGCTGGGAGAGGAGATTCTCTTCTGCTGCCTCGGCTGCGTCGTTTGCTTGCTGCTTTCACCAGTGCAGGCCTCTGTAGGCCTGTGCTGGCGTAAGCAGCGAGCAGAGCACACAACCGAGGCAGAGGAGAATCTCCGCTCCGAGCAGCCTGCCTGACTGATTTTCAGGCCTGCGCTGGCCTCCACAGCTGATGAGTGAGCGAGCCCTCCCCTGCTGCTCCCGGCAAAGTTTTCAGTGAGATCGACTGGCCTCCAGGAGCAGCGCGGTGGGGCCAGGCGCTCCGTTGGCCCCAATTGGGCCCAGGAAGGAGGGAGGCAGCGTGAAAAAGGCTGCCCTCCGGCCTCCTTCCTCACGCTGCCTCTTTCCTCACTGGGCCCAACTGGGGCCCAATGGAGCATCTGGCCCGCACCTCGCTGCTCCTGGAGGCCAGAGTCGATCTCACTCGAAGCCTCGTCGGGAGCAGCAGGGGCGAACACGCTCACCAGCTGCAGAAGTCAGCACAGGCCTGCGCAGCCCTGAAAGTCAGGCAAGCAGGCTGCTGCAAGCGGAGGTTCTCCTCCGCTGCCTCGGCTGCGTCGTCCGCTCTCCAGAGGCAACTGTACTGGATGCGGCAGGTGGGAGCACTCGCCAGCCACTTCACGTGGCTGAAGGCTGGAAAGGGAGGGCCGAGGTGGTCTCGCCAGAAGCGGCAGCGGGTGCACTTGCAAGCCACTTCACCTGCCAGACTGAAGGCGAAGTCATCAAGGCTCGCTTGCAAGCTCCGCTGCTGCTGCCATACATCATCGTCCTGGTATATCTGGAAGACAAGACGACCCCCAACTTTTGAAAGGGTTTTCAAGGTTTAAAAAGTCGTCTTGTAGGCCGGTTTTTACGGTACTTACTGTTCAGTGTTATATTGCAAGATAACACCTTGTGTTCAGTCTTATATTGCAAGCTCATAGTCTTCTATAGCAAGCTGTGTTTATTACATTGACTTTTGGTGCTGCCTCTAGTGTTCAGTCTTATATTGCAAGCTCATAGTCTCCTATGGCATGCATTTTAGTGACACCTAGTGTTCAGTCTTATATTGCAGATAATTCATTTCAACCTAAATATTTATTTATTAGTATTATTATTTTTTATTATTTATTACTATCATTATTACATATTTATTTATTAAGTGGGGCCCTGTGCCTTGGAATACACCCGAATGAAGACTTCGGACCACTTCTGGACTGACCCGTCAGCTGATGAACTGGTGCAGCGCCACCGCATCCATGGCTCCTCCCACGGCCGCCAGGACTCTCCCACCAAGCGCCCTGCCCTCTGTGTACGTCTGTAATGGGAGGATTAATTAATGTTATACGTATATATAGGGGTCAAGCTAATGACCCGTTCTATAATTTGGACAGATCCAGAAGAGGCACTCGTCCACTGGGAGCATGGATGACCGGCCTTCCCTCTCAGCCCGGGATTACGTGGCCTCCCTCCACCAGAACAACAGGGCCACCCTCCTCTATGGCAAGAACAATGTACTCGTCCAGCCGGTCAGTGACATTATTTATTAATTTATTAATTATATCATTTGATTATTATGTACTATCATTGTCTGGTTATTAATTATTTATTCCTATTTATTATTTTGTATTGCAAAATACAAAATAATTGTGGGATTGTGGCGCAGCTGGCTGAGTGTCAGCTGCATTAAGATCACTCTGACCAAAAAGGTAATGAGTTCGAAGCCAGCCCGGGTTGGAGTGGATTTCCAACCAATTGTGTGTAGACTGTTGTCGACCTTTGCAACCCGAAAGACAGTTGCATCTGTCAAGTAGGAAAATTAGGTACCACCTTAAAGTGTGGGGAGGCTAAATTAACTGATTTATGAGGCCAATAAAGAAGACTCCAGCAAAGCATTCCAGCGGGGAAGCATGCGGGAAATGCGGAAGTGCTTCATCAGCGTCGCAGGTGGACGAGGAAAGCGACAGCTCCCCTGGTGGCCAGAAAAAGTTAAATAGCCTCTGTGTATGTCTGTATATGTTTGTATGTCAAAAATTGGCATTGAATGTTTGCCATATATGTGTACACTGTAATCTGCCCTGAGTCCCCTGCGGGGTGAGAAGGGCGGAATATAAAAGCTGTAAATAAATAAATAAATTCATTACATTCCCCTTTAACGACATCTAGTGCTTGATCCTATATTGTAAGCTCATAAGGTTATTATTATTATTATTATTATTATTATACAGTATATAATTATTATATTTATTATATACATTGCTATTTTATTTATTTTACTCTTGTATTATCTATTACTGTTATTTCATATTTAATATTATTATTACTTTAATAATATTCTTTTACTGTGTTGTTATATTTTTGTTATTTTATATTTATTATAGTTGTTACTTTAATTGTATACCAGAAGCAGTTAGAATAGGTGGCTTTTAGGGTTTTATTATTATCTCTAGGAACTTTCTTTGTCCTCCAGGACATCTCTATGGTAACTTCCTGTGGGAGTCCTCCTAGCACTTCCTTCTCTGGTTTTCTCTTCCTAGCGAGATGACATGGAGGCCATTCCGGGCTACCTATCCCTCCACCAGACGGCCGATGTGATGACCCTCAAGTGGACGCCCAACCAGCTCATGAACGGATCCGTGGGGGACCTTGACTATGAGAAAAGGTTGCGACTCCCTCTTTGAAGTCATCTGAGGTCTCCTTGGTCGGTCTAGATGACCTTTGGGGTTCAATCCTGTCCAAAATGATCTTCTTTGGGGGTTCAATGGATATCTGTCGGGAGGATTCTCACTATCTATATATCTATCTTGTTACTGTAGCGTCTACTGGGACTATGCCATGACCATCCACTTGGAGGAGATCGTCTACTTGCATTGCCACCAACAAGGTGAGTCTATGGGTAATTCTCCCATGTAGACCTTGACCCAACTAGAGTAGACCCAATGAAAGCCCATTGAATCTATGGGATAGACCTTTGGATTGACTCGCCGTTGGGTCTACCAATGATCAAGATGGCCAGCCATCAACCTAAGTGGTCAAACCCAATGAAAGACCATTGAATCTATGGTGTTGACCTTTGGATTGGGCTGACCCTTGGTCAAGATGGCCAACCAGCAACCCAATTGGTTGAACCCAAGTCGACCCATTGAATCCATGGGGTTGACCTTTAGATTGGGTTGACCCATAAATAAGTCAACTGATCATCAATACAAGAGCGTTGAGCCCGATGTAACTCCATTGAATCCCCGAGATTGGCCTTTGGACTGGATTGACTCTAGGTCAAGACAAGAAATCATCAGCCCAAGTGGTTGAACCCAAAGAAAACCCACTGAATCAATGGGATTGATTTAGAGATTGGGTTGACTATAGGTAAAGACAGTGAACCATCAATTCAAGTGATCGAACCCAATGAAACCTCATTGAATCCATGGGATTGACCTTTGAATTGACTGAACATAGGGTTGACTCTAGGTCAAGATAGCCAACCATCAACCCAATTGGTTCGGCCTAAAGTAGACCCTTTGAATTCATATGATTGACCTTTGGATTGGGTTGACTCACGGCCAAGACAACTAACTATCAGCCCAAAGGGTTGAACCCAATCAAACCACATTGAATCCATGGGATTGACTCACTGTTGAGTCATGGTCAAGATGGCCAACCATCAACACAAATGGTTGGACCCAATGAAACCTCATTGAATCCATGGGCTTGACTTGCCATTGGGTTGGGTCATGGTCAAGATAACCAACCATCAATCCAGATGGCTGAACCCATTGAATCCATGGGATTGACTTGGTTTTGGGTTGACTCATACTCAAGACAATGAACCTTCAACGCAAGTGGTTGAACCCAATGAAACCCCATTGAATCCATAGGAGTGTCCTTGAGATTGGGTTGGCCCATGGTTAAAACAACCGACAATCAGCTCAAAAGTGTTGAACCCAATGAAACCCCATTGAATCCATGGGACTGATCTTCGTTGTTCTCTCTCTCCCATAGTGGACAGTGGAGGCACAGTGGTTCTGGTGAGTCAGGATGGGATCCAACGCCCCCCTCTCCGCTTCCCCAAAGGAGGGCACCTCCTCCAGTTCCTATCCTGCCTGGAGAATGGCCTCCTGCCCCATGGACAACTGGACCCTCCCCTGTGGTCCCAGAGGGGAAAGGTAAACATGGCCACATTTCTCCCTTTCGCCATTATGTCGTTCCCGTCTTCCACGTCACTTAATTGCGCCCCACTTCCTTCCAGGGGAAAGTCTTCCCGAAACTGAAGAAGAGAAGTTCTCCGGGGTCTTCGGAGTCAGACAAAGAGGATGAAGAGGCCACCGATTACGTCTTCCGGATCCTCTACCCAGGCATGCAGTCCGACTTTGGTGAGTCTATTGGGATGGGGGAATATTGGTTGGATCTTCTGGATTGTTCTCAACCCCAGTGAGTCAGTGGGTTGATAGAAACAGCTATTGTTGACCCATAGACTCAACTGCTGAGTGTTGTCAACATGATGGACTCAATATGTTCTTAGTTGATGGTGATGATGATTTTTTTGTGTGTGTCAAGAGCAACTTGAAAAACTGTAAGTCACTTCTGGTGTGAAAGAATTGGTCGTTTGCAAGGACGTTGCCAAGGGGACTCCTGGATGTTTGATATTTTAACATCCTTTTGGGAGGGTTCTCTCATGTCCCCGCATGGGGAGCTGGAGCTGACAGAGGGAGCTCAACCCACTCTCCCCAGATTTGAACTGCTGACCTGTCGATCAGCAGTTCTTCTGGCACAAGGGTTTAACCCATTGTGCCACGGGGGCTCCGGTGATGATGATAATAATATCCCATTGAATCAACTGTTGGGTGGTGAGTCAGCATGATGGTCTCAGTGAGTACTTAGATGATGATGATGATGATGATGATGATATCCAATCACAGTAGATCCATTGAATAAACTATTGAGGGTTCACTCAACATGATGGGCTCAATAGGTCCTTAGATTGTGATGACGACGATATTATCCAATCACAGTAGATCCATTGTGTCAACTGCTGAGTGGTGAGTCTTTAGATCCCACTATAGTAGTCCCATTGAGTCAATGGACCCTTAGAACCAGTAATTGTTGACCCATAGACTCAATTGTTGGATGGCAAGTCAACATGATAGACTCAATGGATCCTTAGATCCAACCATAGTAGACTTATTGAGTCAACTGTTGAATCAACAGACCCTTAGAACCAGCCATTGTTGACCCATAGACTCAACAATTGGATGGTCAGTCAGCATGATGGACTCAGTGGGTTCTTAGTTGTTGTTGTTGATGATGATGATAATAATATCCAATCACAGTAGACCCATTGAATCGACTGTTGAGTGATGAGTCAACCTGAAGGATTCCCATAAATAAAAGTTCCATTGAGTCAACTGATCCTTAGAACCAGCCATTGTTGACCTGTGGACTCAAGTGTTGGATGGCGTGTCAACATGATGTAGTCAATTGGTCCTTAGATCCAACCACAATCAACCCATAGACCGAACTGTTAAGCATTGAGTCAACATGATGGACACAATGAGTCCTTAGATCCAACCACAATAGACGCATACTATTGAGTGGAGAGTCGACATGGTGGAGTCAATGGGTCCTTAGATCCAACCATGGTAGACCCATAGTCTCAACTGTTAACACTCGAGTCAACATGATGCAATCAATGAGTCCTCCAACCTTGGTGGACCTATTGAATGAACTGTTGAGTTGACATGATGGAGTCAATGGGTCCTTAGATTCAACCACAGTAGACCCAACATGAAGGTCAACCCTATGGGGTCAATGCCAATCCCAGTGATTCAGTGAGTCTACTGTGATCGACCTTGAGGACCCATTGACTCCAAGGGGTTGACCACCATATTGGCTCATCAACGCTTGATTCCTTGGTTGACCATAATGGCCCATTGACTCCATGGAGTTGACCTTTGTTGACTCCCCATCCCACTCCTGATTCTCCTTTTCCTCCTCTTCAGTTGTGCTTAATGGTCCTTCTTGCCTTCTCCTGGGCTCCAACAACACAACTCTGATGTCTGGCAAAGTGGTGGTAATCCCGAAACCGTCTCTGGACCCTCTTGGGGTGGCAACCCACATCTCCCCGCAAACCATACAATGGTCTGGTCAGGAAGACCATTGTGAATTATGCGGTTGGCATATTTATCTTAATAGCTATCATTTCCTCTAGCTTCTTGAATTTCCTCCTACATATTGATTGGATGATGATCATTTGACCAACTTGGATCATGCCGCCTCTCAATTTCTCTCCAGTAAATTGTTTCCCTTTTCTTCTGATGTTGATTTTAATCAAGGTTTAATACTCGTTTTTAAAAAAAATTGTTTTCTTTCTAATGACTAGTTTGTTTTTCATATGAGTTTCATTCTTGTAATCTCGATTTTTCTCCTGCAATCTGTTTCCTTCTCGTACTCTCATATCTGAGTTTTCATTCTTGTTCTTTAATCTTGCCTTTTTCATTCTTGTAATTTAATCTCGATTTCTTGCTGATAACTTTTTCTTCTTGTACTGATTTCATCTGAGTTTCATTCTTGTATTTTCATCTGTTTCTCTTGTTTTGGTTCATTTCAATCATAGTTTCATTCTCGTATATTCGTTTTCTCTCGTTTTGGTGCCGTAATTTAATCTTGATTGTGATCTAGTAACCCATTTCCTTTTCTTTTCGTACTGATGTCATTCTCATACTTTCAGTTTCTCTTGTTTTGGTTCCGTTTCTATCAGAGCTTAACACATTTCCATTTCTTCTTCTTCTGATTTTATCTGAGTTTCCTTACATACTTTCATCTCTATTTCTTTCGTTTCATTCTCATAATTTAATACTGCTTTCTCTCTAATAGCCCTTTTCTTCTTGTAATGATTTCATCTGTGTTTTATTCTTGTGCTTTAGTCTCAGTTTCTTCTGTTTTGGTTCCATTTCACTCTTGTACTTTCATCTCAGTTTTTCTCGTTTTGACACCTCAATTTAATCTCAACTTCTGTCTAATAACCCATTTCATTTTCTTCTCATACTGGTTTCATCTGAGTTTCATTCTCATACTTTCATCTCGATTTCTCTCATTTTGGTTTTGTTCCTATCAGTTTCATTCTTATATTTTGTCTCAATTTCTCTCATTTTGCTTCTGTTTCTATCAGTTTCATTCTCCCACTTTCCTTTTGATTCCTCTCATTTTGCTTCCATTTCTATCAGAGTTTTATTTTCATACTTTCCTCTCAATTTCTCACATTTTGCTTCCACTTCTATCAGTTTCATTCTCGTACTTTCCTCTTGATTTCTCTGGTTTTGCTTCCATTTCTCAGAGTTTTATTTTCATACTTTCCTCTCAATTTCTCACATTTTGCTTCCACTTTTATCAGTTTCATTCTCGTACTTTCCTCTTGATTTCTCTGGTTTTGGTTCCACGAGTTTCATTCTCACACTTTCCTCTCAATTTCTCTCATTTTGCTTCTTTCTATCAAAGTTTCATTCTCCTACTTTTCTCTCGATTTCTCTGGTTTTGTTTCCACTTCTGTCAGAGTTTTATTCTCATACTTTTCTCTCAATTCCTCTCATTTTGGTTTTGTTTCTATCAGAATTTCATTCTCATACTTTTCTCTCAATTCCTCTCATTTTGGTTCTGTTTCTGTCAGAATTTCATTCTACTACTTTCCTTTTGATTTCTCTCATTTTGCTTCCACTTCTATCAGTTTCATTCCCGTACTTTCCTCTCGATTTCTCTCATTTTGCTTCCGTTTCTGTCAGTTTCATTCTCATACTTTCCTCTCAATTTCTCTCATTTTGCTTCTTTCTATCAGACTTTCATTCTCACACTTTCCTTTTGATTTCTCTCATTTTGCTTCCATTTCTATCAGAGTTTTATTTTCGTACTTTCCTCTCAATTTCTCTCATTTTGCTTCCACTTCTATCAGTTTCATTCTCATACTTTCCTCTTGATTTCTCTCATTTTTCTTCCATTTCTGTCAGAGTTTCATTTTCGTACTTACCTTTCGATTTCTCTCATTTTGCTTTCATTTTTATCAGTTTCATTCTCATACTTTCATTTTCTCTCGTTTTGCTTCTGCTTCTATCAGAGCTTCATTCTCATACTTCCCTCTTTATTTCTCTCATTTTGACGCCGTAATATACTCTCCATTTCGGTCTAATAACACATTTCTTTTTCTTCCTGTACTGAGTTTATCATAGTTTCTTTCTCCGGTCCCCAGTTTCCCAGGACATAATGGATGCAGCATCAGGCGCCATTCCACCAATATGGCAGCCGAGCACCCGGAAGTCCTCCTGCTCGTCATGCTCCCACAGTGGCTCCACCGATAGTGGACCGCCCAACATGTGCAACCACGAAAGGTAACTACACTTTTGTCTGGAAACGAACAAGAAAAAAAACGGAATATGATATAAAACAAAATAATAATATAAAATAATAATATGAAACTAAATTTATAATAATATAAAATAAGAATATAAAAATAATTAATATGTATAATAATATAATACTATAAATGAAATACCATAGCATAAAATAATAATACAAAGTAATAATATAAAATAATAATTTAAATTTAAAGAATATATACAATATAATATAAAATGAAATAATACCATAGTATAAAATAATACTATAATACAAATTTAAAATAATAAATAATAATATAAAATAATACGTATAATAATATATAATATAACAAAATTGTATAACTTATCTATATTTCTATATATCTATATCCTATCTATCTATATCTATATACATAATAAAAGTCAAAGTTTGTATGTGGGTATGTTTGTGGCAGCATTCTGATTAGTTGCCACTGTGGTACTATTTGCATAAGGTCTCTGATTGGCCAGCAACAACACTCCAAGACTCCCAAGTGGCTGAGAAGGGAAAGGAAATTTGCATATGGTTTCTGATTGGCCAGCCTCAACAGGAGCCCCTGGTGGCACAGAGGGTTAAACCCCTGTGCCGGCAGGACTGGCCTCTGATTGGCCAGCAAAAAAAAATCCAACATTCTGAGGAAGCAGAGAGGGGGGAAAGGGGCCTGAGGCTGTGGCAGCTTTCTAATTGGTTGCCACTGTGGTACAATTTGCACATGGTCTCTGATTGGCCAGCATCAACAATGACAGAAGAAAAACTTGGCACACAGACCCCCCAAGACCCACTCTACATCCTGGTGCAATTTGAGAGAGGATAGAGCACTGATGAAAGGACTATCACTTCCTTAGAGCACTGTGGCCCACACCAATGACGGATCTGGACCAAACTTGGCACACAGAGGCCCAATGGCCCACTTTACAACCTGGTGTGGTTCAGGGCAGGATGGGCCACAAATGATGGGATTTGCGGTACCTTCACCTGGTTCACTTCCCACAGAACATTGTAGCCCCTACAAATCACAGACCAGACCCAAATTTGGCACACAGAGTACTCATGACCCACTCTATATCCTGATGCAGTTCTAAGGGGGATGGACCATGGATGGTGGGATTTGCAGTACCTTCACTCACTTACTGAAACCACTGTGACCCTCATCCAATGACTGATCAAGACCAAACTTGGCACACAGAGCCCCCATGACCCACTCTACATTCTGCTGCACTTTGCAGGAGGGTGGACCATGGATGATGGAACTTGCAATACCTTAACTCACTTACTAAAACCACTGCGACCCTCATCCAATGACCATTAAAGACCAAACTTGGCACACAGAGCCCCCATGACCCACTCTACATCCTGCTGCCGTTTTGAGGAGAGTGGACAATGGATGATGGGACTCGCTGTACCTTCACTCACTTCCTGAAAACAATGCAACCCTCATCCAATGACCAATAAAGACCAACTGAACATACAGCAGGGGCTTTAGAATATTGACCTTAATTTTGGGGGTTGTAGTTCACCTGCATCCAGAGAGCCCTGAACCCAACTGACATCTGGACCACACCTGACATACAGATGCAACATGGCCAACTGTAAATACTGGCACAGTTCGGGGAGGATTGACCCACAATCTCGAGAATTGTAGTTCACCCACATCATTATGTATTTTCTAATGGGAGCATTCATAAACAGCGAAATCAAAGACTGGCTTTTTTCTAATAAATAGCATTACTAATTCACTAAATGATACTACCTATCACTCCAAAACAAATAATGCCTTTTTCAAATAACCCGAACACTGCCAAGTACCCAAACTAGTATAAAATAAAAGAACGCTACAATATAAAATAATAATATAATAATATGTATAGTAATATAATGAATACTTACTTTCTCTCCGCAGAACTCCACTCAAGCTCCTTTGTGACAACATGAAATACCAGATACTTTCTCGAGCATTTTATGGATGTGAGTCTTTCTCTTTTCTCTTCCTCTGGTGCTAAATGATGGGATATGTAGTGTCAACACACTTCAGGAATGTTGAGAAAAAAACTGTTAAATCGGGAACAATGACTTAAAATTGTTTTAATTTGGGAATGTGTAAGAATTCAATAACTTATGGGAAACTATGATAAATATATATATACAAAATAGAAGTGAAAATTGTGTATATGTGTATGTCGTGAAGGTGTCCACTTACACAGACAGCCTCCAACCTCCACAAACAGCTATACCCTACAGTGCTGAAGAGCCACCAAAAGCTCTCCCTCCAATTTTGCCTGCCATACAAGGAATGCTTTTATTTGAGGACAATTTCATCATAGATGTTCTAATGGGACATCCCAGGGTTCCTTTTTTTTCTCCATTAGTGTGGAATTTGCATGACCCCACCCACTGCCTTTCCCTTAACCCTTTACTATCCTTTTCTATGACACATAGCAAATAGGAATTGATCAGCAACTGAACAAGAGGTTTGGGGGGAATTGATATTGATGTATAGGAGTTATAGTTCACCTACATCCAGAGAACACTGTGAACCCAACCAATCTTGGATCTGGACTACACTTGCCATAGGTGATGGGATTTAAAGTACCTCCACTCACTTTCTGAGACCACTGTGACTCCCACAAATGATGGGCCTGGACAAAACTTGCCACACAGACCCCCTCATGACCCACTTTATGTCCTGGTGCAGTTTGGGGGAGGCTGGACCATGGATGATGAGATTTGCAATACCCTCATCCACATCCAGAGACTACTGTGACCCCCACTAATGATGGACCTAGACCAAACTTGTCCCACAGACTCTCCATTACATGCTTAACATCCTGGTGAGTTTTGGGAGAGGATGGACAGGAACAATGGGAATTGCAGTATCTTCACTGACTTCAAGAAGCCACTGCGACCCAAATGAATGATGTAACTGGACAAAATTTCTCACACAGACTCCCTATGAAGCACTTTCTGTCGTGGTGAGGTTTGGGGGAGGATGGACCACAGACTATGGGATTTGCTTGCTGTACCTTCACCCACTTCCACAGACCACTGCAACCCTCACAAATAACAGGCCTGAACCAAACAAAATCCCCATGACCAACAGACATACTGGACCCCACCAATTACAGATCTGGACCAAACTTTGAACACAGAACCCCTGTGACCAATTGAACATACTGGAAGAGTTTGGGGAAAGACTAACCCACCCACGTGGGAGTTCACCTTGCACCCAGAGAGCATACCCAAGCCCCTAATGGTGGATCTGGAACACACATGGCACACAGAACCCTGATGGCCAACAGAACATACTGGAGAGATTGGGGAGGGAATGACCCACCTGCATGGGAGTTGTAGTTCGCTCTGCATCCAGAGCACTCTGAACCCCCTCCATAATGCATCAGGACCAAACTTGGTACACAGACCCAACATGTCGAACTGTAAATACAGGTGGAGTGGGGATCTAGAGAGCATTGAACCCAGCAAACATCGGATCTGGAGCAAACTTGGTACACAGAGGCAACATGGCCAACTGGATACAGGCCTGGTTTGGGGAGGATTGGCCCATGATTCTAGGAACTGTTGTTTACCCACATCTTTCTGCATTTTCTAATGGGAGCATTAATACAAAACAAAACCAAAGACTGGCGTTACCTAAGTGATATTACCTTTCACCCCAAAACATACAATGCCTTTTCCAACTAACCCTAGCACTGCTGGGTTCCCAAGGTAGTATGTAGCACATAGTAGATGGAAGGTGGACTAAATACGATAAAAGGTACAACACCTGGAAGCTAAGTAGGGTTGGCCCTAGTTAATATTTGAATGGGAGATCACCAACGGGTTTATTCCCTAAGAAAACTCTCTTGATTAGTTGAAATCTATGGATTGAAGGTCTTTCTTGGTCAAGTGGGACATTAGCTTGTGTTTTTGGGGCATCGCTCACCAATATCTCTATTTCACAGGGCTGGCCTACTGCCGCCACCTTTCCACCGTGCGGACACACCTTTCGGCGCTGGTCAACCATGACATTGTGTCCCCGGATGTGCCTTGCGACGCGAGTTTGGGTCTGATGGCTGACGTCTGGGAGGCGTTTCTGCAGGACAACACGGTAATATGACCACCTTATGATACAGTTCTATGGTCTGTGTCAGAAGTTGACCATGGTATACTTCCAGGAAAAGGTTTCAGGGCATTGGATATATCAAAACCAAGATGTATCATGATGTGACCTTTGCCCTTTCATCTAATTTTTTGCTCCCAGAAAATCAACGAAAGCGAGTTGCTACGGCTGGTCTACTTTGGAGGCGTCCAGCATGAAATCAGGAAATCTGTTTGGCCTTTCCTCCTTGGACATTACCAATTCAGGATGTCCGAAGCAGAGAGGAGAGAGGTTAGTTCTCCATAAGATGTGGATGATTGAGATCTATCATTCATAGGATTTCCATGAGTCAAAGCTGAGATCTGTTCATCATAAGCCAACACTGTGGGTGATGGAGATCTATCTCTACTTCCTAGGTTGACCTCCAGACCCGCTCAGCCTACGAACAGACAATGGCAGAGTGGCTTGGCTGTGAGGCCATTGTCCGCCAGCGCGAGAAGGAGTCGCATGCTGCTGCCTTGGCCAAATGCTCTACGGGGGCCAGCCTAGACTCCACCATGGAGCGCCTCATGCATGGCCACTCCACCCTCAGCAGCGAGGTGAGATGGCCAGCATATAGTGACCCAAGGGTCTGGGTTGGGTTCAGCAGTAGGGTAGAATTAGAATAGTCCATAAGTTGAGTTGGGTTGTCCAATGCTTGAGTTGGATTGTCTAATGTTTGAGTTGGGTTTCATTGAGTTGCGTTGTCCAAGGATTTAGGTGTATTCAATTGGGTTGGGTTGGGTTCAGTTGGCGTCGTGTCAGGAGCGACTTGAGAAACTGCAAGGATGTTGCCCAGGGGACGCCCGGATGATTTGATGTTTTTATCATCCTTGTGGGAGGCTTCTCTCATGTCCCCGCATGAGGAGCTGGAGTTGATAGGAGCTCATCCACCTGTCCCCAGATTCGAACCTGCGACCTGTCGGTCTTCAGTCCTGCCGGCATAGGGGTTTAACCCACTACGCCACCGGGGGCTCCTTGGGTTCAGTTGAGTTAAATTGAGTTATTATTAGTATAGTTGGGTTGGGTTCAGTTGAGTTGAATTGAGTTGTTGTTGTTGTTATTATTATTATTATTATTATTATTATTATTATTATTATTATAGTTGAGTTGGGTTCCGTTGAGTTGAGTTGGGTTCACTTGAGTTGAATTGAGATCTTCTTATATTGTTGTTGTTGTTGTTGTTGAGTTGGGTTGGGTTCAGTTGAGTTGAATTTTATAATTATAACTCAGTTCAACCCAACTGAACTGAACCCAACCTAACTGGACCCGGCCTAACTCAACAGAACCAAACTCAACTCAACTGATGAACAAAACTCAAATCCTAGACAACCCAACTGAACCCAACCCAACTCTAAATTGAACCCAACTCTATTCAACTGAACCCAACTGAATACAACTCAAATCTTGGGTAACTCAACCCAACTCAACTCAACCCAAGTCAATCCTTTGACAACTCAACCCAACCAACCCTTGGACAACTCCACTCCATTAAACTCAATGAATGCAGGTGAAACCTTGGACAGTTCAACAGTTCAACTGAACTGAACTCAAACCAAATCTTGGACAATCCAATTCAACCCAACTCAACTATAATAATAATCATCATCATCATCATCATCATTCAATTCAACTCAACTGAAACCAACCTAACTCAATTGAACCATCCCAACCCAACTATAATAATAATATTTTTTTTCTTCGTGGACTCTGTGAATGCATACATGTGGAGCATCTGCGTTTGCGCAGGCTCCAACAGAAAACTTCCAAAGTTTAAAACCAAGGTTTTTGTGTTAACCCTGCCCAGTCCCCTCTCCAGGGTTAACACATGTTCCTGTTTTTCCGCCGCAAAGCTCGCTTCGGAATCTTCCTCGCGATGTCTATGACTCGCTTTAAGTAGCAGACTCTGCTAAATTTTCGGAATCTGACAAGAATTCTAAGTGCCTTCGCTGCTTTGGCGAAGCCCATATTATTTCTTCCTGTTGCCATTGCCAGTCGTTAACGGTCCAGTCTTGGAAGAATCGGGCCGCCAAGCTGAAGTATCTTCTCTATGAGAAAACCCTCGCGCCTTAGATGTCTCAGCCGTCGACTTCAGCTCCTTCGACATCAGATCCCTCGACTTCAACCGTGGCCCAACTGCCTTTGAAACCAAGGTCGACTTCATCAGCAGCCTCAAAGTCGTTGAGGCCAACTTGACAAACTAAGCCACCCTGCACCTTGACTATGTTGACGGTCCCAGCAAGACCCTCTTTGACCTCCAGCTCAGTGGCTTCGGTCCACTCCACAAGATCTAACATGGCGATTCCACCGTTATCTTCCTCGATGAGGATTGCCTTTAAGAGGGCCCATGGGGAGACTCATCAAGTCAGTTGCCTCGACTTCACCGCTGATTCCTCCAACTCTTGGTAAATCCCTGACTCCACCGGGTAACACTCAGCCTCTGACAAAGAGAAGGGTTCCTCCACGCTCTTCCTCTTCCGCCTCTTCAAAAAGACTGCTGCAATCTCCTCGGCCACCTCGTCTGGCCAGTCTTCGCCACTTCCACCAGCTCAACCCCCCAGACCCTCGCAGGAGTCTCCCGCCCAAAATCCCTCAGACAGTGAGCTTTCAGAGTCTCCGGCTTGATCATAACAAATGGTGGTTCAAGTTCCTCAGCAGCCTCCCCCATCTCAGCCTTTTTCCACTGACCTTGACAACAGAGAAAGGCTGATAGACGTCTCTCCTCTCTAAAGCAGCCCAGGCCTTGGTGTCAAAGCAGGCCCCACCTCGGGCTTCTCCAGTCCGGAGTCCTTGGCCTCCACCACCTCCTCCACTGATCCTCTCTTCTTCCTCTCCTCATCAATCCGAGGATGAAGATAAGGCAGAGACATTGCACAATTTGTCCATTCGGGTTCAATTTAATCTTTGGGCTTGAACCATTCTCCAACCCATGATGCCTATGAGGTTGATCCTCCTTTGCCTACAGATATTGTGAGGGTTTTTGCCGACCAGATGGTCAGAATGGCCAACACTTTGGGTCTCAGGATCAAGCAAACCTCCAAAACGGTTACTGATCCCATCTTTAAGAGGGTCCAATCCCTTTTGGAGACCGTCTCGCCTACTTCATTGACACATGGTGGTGCATCACCTCAGATGCGTGGGTTCTCAAAGTTGTCAAAGAAGGTTATGCGTTACAGTTCAAAGAACTCCCTCCAACTGGCCACATCATCAACACCTGCAGAACTCTCTGTCCTCTTTGACTGGTGTGGCCGGCCAGACGTTGATCTCTTTGCGTCCCCGTCGAATGCTCAGCTTCCCAGTTACGGAGCCCGTCTCCCTCCAGACTCCTGTGTAGGCTGCCTAGGAGATACGTTTCTTCTTGACTGGTCAACAGATTTCCTGTACATGTTTCCTCCGATTCCCCTGATGCTCATGGTAGTTGAGAAGATTCAAGCCTCTTGGGCCAACTGCATCCTGGTGGCACCCACCTGGCCCAGACAGACCTGGTACCTGGTCCTTCTCCATCTCTCCCGAGGCCGTCTCTCCGCCCTCCGTCCCCGACCAGATCTACTGACGAGGGAGGACGGTCTCTTTCTCCACTCCAATGTCTGTTCCCTCCACCTAACAACATGGAGAATAATCTTATGATGTCCCTTCAATCGGCTATCCAGTCTATTATAAAAGCGGCAAACAAGCCAGCCACCACCAAGGCCTATTCTTGCCTCTTCGCCCGCCTTTAGGACTTCTTTTGGGCTCAACGCGAACCAACATTACCTCTGTTGGTACCAACAATCTTGGACTTCTTTCTCTCCTGGCTGACCAAAACCTCAGCCTCTCATCTATGAAGTCTTACCTCGCTGCCATCTCCTGGTACGTCCAGCAACTCGGCGGCCCTTCCCTGTTCCAGAACCATCAGGTCAAGACATTCCTGAAAGGATATACCAACCTTCATCCTCCCACCCACCCCAGGATGGAACCTCAAGCTCGTCCTCTCTCAGCTGACCAACCCGCCGTTTGGGCCATTAGCCATGACCAACCTTAACCTCCTCTCTTGGAAGGTCTCATTCCTGGTGGTGATCACCTCAGCCCATCAAACGCCCTCCGTGTCAACGAACCCTACCTTCTTTTCCACTCTGACCAGGTGGTTCTTTGGAAAGACATCACCTTCCTTCCGAAGGTTGTATCTGCTTTTCAGGTCAACAAGGACATCTTTCTTCCCACCTTTTTCCAGGGGCCGTCCTCGTCGATAGAGAGAAAGCTACATCTCCTCGATGTTTGTCAGGCCCTCCTCTCATTCCGTAAGACCCAGAGACTCCTTGTTTCTTATCCCCCTGCTAAGCTGGGCCTCCCAGTCTCCTCTCAGTGCCTTCCCAACTGGATCGCTGCCACGGTTGAGCTCTGTTACAAACTGACATGCCACCCTCTACACCCATCGGTGCATCCTAGATCGACAAGGGGCATGGCCGCTTCGATGACTTCCTTAAAGGTATCCCTTTGGACTCAATTTGCAAGCCAGCCAACTGGTTGAACACGATGACTTTTGTTTCTCATTATCGGTTCGATACCAGAACTCGTAAGGCAGATTCATTCTTTCTACCTGCCCGCCCTGACTTCTCTGCTCATCCAGGTTGGGGTGCTCCTTTCTCACTCCTGCAAAAAAAATGACTCTTTCACAAAAAGTGTGTACTTGATTGTTCAAAACCTTTTTTTGTTGCTTGTATTCAACTGTTCATTGTTGATATGCCTATCTACCTTCTTCACTTGTCAATCCTCAGGTAACTCTTGAATATACTGAAGTTTCCTCTTGTTGACCTTCTTGTCACCTATTTACCATAACAAAGATTAATACATGGTTAATCTAATGTGTTTTTTTTATGTCCTCACATTATGACTGTCATTTGACTCTACTACATCACCTAAGATTGTGCCCAGCAACCTCTGTTGTGGGTGTTGTGATCCCCCTTAGCCTTCATAGGCCTTTGGTCTTTTCTGTTTTTCTCCATCATATGTATGGAAATGTTTTTACCGTGTTCCAATACCGTTGATATATCATGACCTGCTGTTTGTTCACATGAGATATGCCTCTTGGCCTGTGTGGCTTCTTCAGTGACATGTACCTTCTTGGTTACAATGTACTCACAGTAAATCATGTTTTGGTCCTTGAAATAGTGTTGGTTTGCATTCTCTCACCTTCCTGGACGTCGGTTTGCTAGTCTCCACATGTGTGCATTCACAGAGTCCCACAAAGAAAAATGATAGGTTACTCACATGTAACCATGTTTCTTCAAGTGGTACTCTGTGAATCCACACAAACCCGCCCGGCCTCCCCTCAAGCAGACCTCCCCCTTTCTCACTGCTTTTGTGGCGTAGGAACTGCGGAGCATGTGGCCAGGGTGCGTTTTATGCCCTGGAGAGGGGACTGGGTGGGGTTACCGCCAAAACTTTGGTTTTAAACTTTGGAAGTTTTCCGTTGTAGCCTGCGCAGGCGTAGATACTCCACATGTGTAGATTCACAGAGTACCACTCGAAGAAACATGGTTACAGGTGAGTAACCTACCATTATTAGATTGTTATTATTAGAGTTGTATTGGGTTGGGCTCAGTTAAGTTGAGTTTGTTCAGTTGAGTTGGGTTGGGATCAGTTGAGTTGAATTGAGTATTATTATTATTATTATTATTATTATTATTATTATTATGGTTGAGTTGGTTCAGTTGAGTTGGGTTGAGTTCAGTTGGGTTGGGTTGGGTTGGGTTGTCCAATGTTTGAATTAGGTTCAGTTGAGTTGACTTTAGGTGGCCAATGTTTCAGTTGGGTTCGGTTCAGTTGGGCTGTCTAATGTTTCAGTTGGGTTCCATTGAGCTGAGTTGTCCAAGGGTTGAGTTGGGTTGGGTTCCGTTGAATTAATTTGAGTTCTTTTTGTAGGATTTTATTAGTTAGGATAATCTAACTAATCTAGAGTTTTTCCCTATTCGGGTTCCTTCTTTTCTCTTTCAAGTCTTCGCAGAGCAGCAGTTCCGGCCCGCAGAAACTGACACGGCTTCAGAGCGACTCAAGCGGAAGCACCCAGGTGGGGTGACCATTGCTTTCCCATTCCTTGCTTGAATGGCCCCTTTGCCCCTATTGGATCCCCCCAAAGATTTGAGGTCAATACATTATTCAAATTTGGTGGAGCTTAGAGCCAATTTATTTGCCATAATGATAAGTTTTACTATTGAGAATTTGTCTCATTTCCTATAGAGGTTACCGTACTGTCAAGTTAATGCAATTTCACCCCACTTTGCAATCTTTTGATTTATAGTTTGGCGAGATATCACCACCATTCTTAGGCAGAAAAGGCAAAGAACATAACAGAAAAGTGTCTTTTACTCAGAGAATACCCAAAAATACATTGAAAAAATATTGGTAGATCCATTGTTCTCAAATCGTCCTGATTTCATATGTTTTGGCTCTCAACCGTCTCGATTCTGTCTTTTGTGCAGGTTTTCGAATCAGTTGATGAAGCAGAACAAACTGAATCCAAACTTGACAACGGTGAATCAAAACGGGCCAAAACGCCAGACCGGATGGATTCCGAGGATGGTGACAGCAGTTTCTTCGATACTCTTCTTCTCGTACAAAATTCATATGGTGCTGAGATGGAAGTGGAAAGCCGAATGACTACGGTGGAGGGTGAGGGTGAATTACGGGGTCCCGATTTCCTCGATCAAGAGAAGCCTTCCAATGAGAGTTGGGTTGACCGCAACGGGGAGCGTCCAAACTCAAGTGAAGAAGACGACCTCTCGGAGGAGCCAGAAATGGAGAGCCTGTACCCACCGCTGGACTCATGCTCCTTGGCTGTCACCGACTTGACCGTCAGGGAAGTCTCACCCGTCTCGTCTTCGGGGGTCACTTATTCCGTGAGTATGTTTGTTCGAGAAGTTGGAAATTATAGTATAACCTCTTATTTTGGAGGAGGGTTGTCCACAGTTGACTAATTGTGTTGTACTCATCCATGTCTGCCCTTTAGCCTGAACTGCTAGACCTCTACACGGTCAACCTCCACCGGATTGAGAAGGACGTCCAGCGGTGCGACCGTAACTATTGGTACTTCACCCCGGCCAACCTGGAGAAGCTCCGGAATGTCATGTGCAGGTAAGAGGATTCCATAGTAGGCCCACTTCCTAGGTCCAAAGTCATGGGGTCTGATTCCATGAAAAATCCACTTCCTGGGTGGGTCAGATTCCATAGAAGGCCCACTTCCTAAGTTGAAGGCCAGAGGATGGGATTCCACAGAATGTCCACTTCCTGGATGGAAAGTCTGAGGGTCAGATTCCATAAAATATCCATTTCCTGGCTCAAAAGTCCGAGGGTCAGATTTTATAGAAGATTCACTTCTTGGGTCGCTCAGATTCTACAGAAGATCCACTTCCTGGGTCAAATGTCTGAAGTTGCGATTCCATAAAAGGCATGTTTCCCATATGGGTCAGATTCCATAGAAGGCCCACTTCCTAGGTCAGATTTCATAGAGTTGATCCCTCTTCCTTTCCCCAGCTACGTCTGGCATCACCTGGACATTGGCTACGTCCAAGGGATGTGCGACCTTTTGGCCCCGTTGCTGGTCATCTTGGATGATGGTGAGTTTGTGGTTAAGGTGGAGCCTCTCCTTTAGCTCTTCGGACCCATGTGTGCTGGAGCTTCTTGACAGCCTCCCTCTTCCTGTCTTTACCCAGAAGCTCTTGCGTTCAGCTGCTTCTCCGAACTCATGAAGAGGATGAACCAGAACTTCCCCCATGGAGGAGCCATGGATACACACTTTGCCAACATGCGATCCCTCATCCAGGTACCGGCCATGGAGTGACCGTCTTGGGGGACTCTCTAGGAATCTCTCGGTCCTTGATGGTCATAGCGTCTCATTGGAGGACCTGGAGAGTCCTAGATTAGACAACTTCCCATTTGAAGGTCCTCCAGCATGACTATGATTGACTTCATGCTGGAGGACTGCATTTGTAAAGAGGCATTTGTAGGTCCTCCAGTGCTGGTGGTGGGCCATAGAGTCTTACTGGAGGACCTGGAGAATCCTAGATAGGACAACTTCCCATTTGTAGATCCTCCAGCATGATTCTATAGTCATAGAGTCTCACTGGAGGACCTGGACAGTCTTAGATAAGATGGCTTTCCAGCATGACTCTGTGGTCAACTTCATGTGAGATTCCTAGAGAGGATATCTTTGTGTGAATTTGTAGGCCTCTTCTTACTCTGATCTTGCAGATCTTGGACTCAGAGCTCTTTGAGCTGATGCATCAGAACGGTGACTACACCCACTTCTACTTCTGCTACCGCTGGTTCCTCCTGGACTTCAAGAGAGGTCAGGCCTTTGTCTTCTCCATCTTCTTCTTCTCCATCCATCAATTGTTTCTCCTCCATCTTCGTTCTTCTAGTTCCTCTCTTGTCTCTTCCATCTTCTCCTCCACCGTCTTCTTTCTCCTGGTTCTTCTCATCTTTCCATCATCATCTGCTCCACTTTCTTCTTCTCATCTTCTCCATCTTCTCCTTCTCCATCCATTCCTTCGTTCTTCTGGTTCCTCTCTTGTCTCTTCCATCTTCTCCACCTTCTTCTTTCTTCTGGTTCCTCTCATCTTTCCATCATCTTCTCCTCTACTTTCTTTTGGTTCTTCTCATTTTCTCATCCATCTTGGTCTGCTTCATCCATTCCTTCTCCGTCTTTCTCCTTATTCTTCTCATCTTCTTCTCCATCCATTCCTTCTTCTCTTTTCTTCTGGTTCTTCTCTACTTGTCCATCTTGGTCTCCTCCATTCCTTTCTCCTTTCCATCATCTTCTCCTTCACTTTCTTCTGGTTCTCATCTTCTCCATCTTGGTGGTCTCCTTTGCCTTCTCCTCTGTTCTTCCTCCATTCCTTTTCCTTCTCCTTCCTTCTGTTTCTTCTTGTTTTCTCCTCCATCTTGGTCTCCTGGTTCTTCTCCATCCATTCCTTCTCTCTCTCCTCCATCTTCTCCTCATTCCTTCTCAGTCTTCTTTCTTCTAGTTGTTCTCATCTCTTCATCCATTGCTCCATCTGGGTCTCTTCCATCTTCCTCTTCTCCTTCCATTCCTTCTCCATCCATTTCTTGTCTTCCTTCTGGTTTGGCTCGTCTTCTTCTCCATTTTGGTCTCTTCCATCACCATTCCTTCCCCTCCTCTTTTCTTCTGTTTCCTCTCATCTTCTCCCCCACTTGGTTTTCTTCTCCATCCATTCCATCTTCTCCATCTTCTCTTTTTCCTCAGAGCTCCTCTATGGGGACGTCTTCTCCACCTAGGAGGCCATCTTCATCCTGGTCTCCTCCTCCATCCCTTCCTACTTCTTTCTTCTGGTTCTTCTCCATCTTCTCCTTCACTCAGCCCTTCTTTCTCCTTCCTCCCTCAGAGCTCCTCTACGAGGACGTCTTCTCCGCCTGGGAGGCCATCTGGGCGGCCCGTTGCACATCTTCCTCCCACTTTGTGCTCTTCATGGCCTTGGCGCTGGTGGAGCTCTACCGAGACATCATCCTCGAGAACAACATGGACTTCACTGACATCATCAAGTTCTTCAATGGTAGGCTTCTCCCCCTTTTCCAAAATGGCTCCTCCACTTAAACAATCGACAACTCCCAGAATCCTCTTCTTTTTGTGTTCTAGAAATGGCCGAGAGGCACGATACCCAGGCGATGCTGAAGCTGGCCCGGAACCTGGTCTACAAGGTCCAGACACTCATTGAGAACAAATGAATGACCCAACGAACAAAGGGACAGACGGACGGATGGATGTGAGGGACCGGGAGGAAGACCACATCTCACATGAATGAAATGGGTTGGGAGTTGTAGTCCTACCGTTGACACCAATGAATGTTATTGGGAGGAAAGGGGTGGAGAATAGCCATCAATCGATCTATTGATCAATTCAGGGGAGAAAAAGAAGATGGAAGAATAGTCAATCAATCTACCAATTTGGAAGAGAAAAGGAAGAAATGGATGAAAGAATAATCCACCAATCAATGAATTCCTAACAGTTAACATTAGAGCAGCTCCCTAAAATCCAATTAACTTTTGATTAAATTGACAATTATTTAACAAGTATTTAATTAATGAGTAAGTAATGACCAGTTATTTAACTGTTCATTACTCATTAATTAAATTGTTGTTAATTAACTACAGGCTAATTAATTATTCATTAATTATTAAGAATTAATGAACAATTAATGAATGAATGATTAAGTAACATTTACTTAATTACCGGTTAATCATTCATTAACATACAGTTAGTGATCAATTAACTAATACTTAAATAATGATTAATTAATCGTTCATTACTTCCTCCTTAATTAAATAATTGTTAAATAATTAATTACATGTTATTTAATTAATGATTAATTAATTATTCATGAATTAAGATTGAAAAATTAATTAATGTATGATTAAGTAACAGTTACTTAATTATGGTTAATCAATTCATTAATTAACTTAAAATTAATGATCAATTAGCAATAAGTAATGAATGATTAATTAATTACTGGTTAATTGCCTATTTATTGCTTAATTAATGATCAATTAAATATTGATTAACTGAGAAGTAATAATTAATCATTAATTAAGGATTAATTAACTATACTTAATGATCAATTAACAATTAGTAATTAATGATTAATTAACTGACAAGTAATGATTAACTGACTAATGAACGACTCATTAATTACACCCCAACTTGGTTTTCTCCACCTCTTTGGGTAATTAATCAGGAATGAAGGAATACGAAAGCACAAGTCGGAGGGAAGTAATTTTGCAAAACAAAAGATTAAATATTATATATAATATATTGAATTTTCGATTTAAAAAATGGGGAAAATGCAATTTTGTGAGCTGAGCGCTGTGTGAAATGTGTGTGAATGTGTGTAATTTAAGCAGAAATGAATATATGTGAATATATTGTATTTTGATTTTTCAAAAAGCACAATCCTGAGCTAGTGAACTCTCACCATAACTATTATTATTATTATTACTATTATTATTAAATATATTTAAATAACATATTCCTACATAAAATCATTGTGATTGTTCATATTAAAATAATAATAGTAAATATTTTAATAAAAATATTCAATAAATAATATTACTATAATATTTATTTAATATATGATTAAAATATTTATTATTATTATTTTATTTAATACTAAATTAAACAATAAAAGTAAACATTCACAACTTAGATCATTGATAATAATTACTTTTATTTCATTTAGTAATATCATATTGCTAAATAATATAATAATAGTAAATATTGTTAATCATAATATATTAAATGAATTATATTAATAGTAACAGCAACATATTTAAAATATGTTACTAAATGTTATATTTATTTATTTAGTAATATATTCATTTAGTAATATATTCATCCTATTCAATAAATATAAAATATTTATTGAATATTCAATATTTATTTAGTAATATGTTTAAAGAATGTAGTGTACAAAATTTTATTGTGGTCACTGACCAGCACAAAGCGCTCTGGGAGGGGAAACAGAACTGTTACAATAACCTGTGTTTTAAAATAGAATTTTAAACTGTTTTCTAATCTACTTTTAAATAACTTCTTCACTGGGGAAAGAATATACTAATAAATACATTTAATAATAAATATATAATTTATTTCATAATATAGTCAAATAATATACTACTAAATAAATATAAAATAACAATTATTAAATATTATTCATTTTGTAATATATTTAAATAATATACAACTAAATAAATTTCATATTTATATTATTATTTAGTAACATTCTACTAAATAAATATAATTATATTAATAATATTAAATATTCATTTAGTATAATATTTAAATTAAATGCTACTACATAACTATAACATTATAATATTATAATTTTAGTAGCATATCATTTTAATACATTTTGGTACATTAAATTATAATAATATAAATAATATAATATTTATAATGTAATATTTATATTAATATAATAATATTTATATTATATTTATTTTCATAGCATATTATTTTAATATATTAATTGGTACATTATTTTAATGTATTACTAAATAAATTATAATAATAAAAATAGAGAATATTTATAATATATTTATATTCCTGTTATTTTATTTAGTAAGATATTAAAACATACTACTAATTATATTATTATTCTATTTATTTTAGTAAAAAGTAAAAGGTTTCCCCTTGACATTAAGTAGGCATATTATTTTAATATATTATATATATATTGGTACATTATTTAAATATATTCCTAAATAAAATGTAATAATATTAATGTTATTAAATTCTACTACATTTAGTAATATTTAATTTATTGATTTATATAATTTATTTATATAATTAACTTATTTAGTAATATATTCAAATAATATACTAAAATAAATATAATTATATACTACTAAATGAATTTAAGAATATTTATATTAATGTAGTTAATTTATTAAGTAATATATTCAAATAATAATAGTAATAGTAATAATAATACCCATTTCCCCCAGCTTAAGGAATCTTTGCCCGGAATTTGCTGCTATTGCTATCAGATTAAAAATAATATATATTTTCTAGCCATTTCTGTGTGTATCTGTGTAAATATAAATATAAGTGGGATATGCAAAAGAAATATTTATTTTAATGTTGTTGTTGTTATTATTATTATTACTATTATTATTATTATTATTATTATTATTACCTGTATGTGTGCTGAAATTCTCAAAAGTGGCCAAATCTTGTCTAAATATAACTATATATTATATAGATTACATATATATATCTATAGAGAATATATATCTATGTGAATTAAACATGGCACAAGGAAATAAAACTGGTTTTGTGTCGTTATTTCTATTTTTTGATATATATAATATATATAATATTTCAATACTACCTTGCAAATTCCACACCAATGGAGAGAGAGAAAGGAACTCTGGGTTGTCCATGTGGGAGTTATAGTTCACCCTACACCCAGAACACTCTGACCCCTATCAATGATGGATTTGGACCAAACTTTGACCATAGAATCCTGGTGACCAACAGAACATACTGGAGGTGTTTGTGGAGGAACTGACCTACCCAAATGGGAGCTATAGTTTACCCTGTGCCCAGAACACTCTGAACCCCACCAACGACAGATCTGGACCAAACTTCGAATGCAGAACCCTGGTGACCAACTGAACATTCTGGAAGATTTATTGGGGGGGGAGGCGAACCCACCCACGTGGGAGTTGTAGTTCACTCTGCACCCACAAAGCCCCTATTGGTGGATATGGAACACACGTAGCACAAAAAACCCTGATAGCCAACAGAACATACTGGAGAGGGTGGGGAGGGAATGATCCACCTGCGTGGGAGTTGTAGTTGACCCTGCATACAGAGCACTCTGAAACCCCTTAATAATAGATCTGGACCAAACTTGGCACACAAACCCAACATGCCCAACTGTGAATACAGGCGGAGTTTGGCAGTGATTGCCCTGGGAATCTGGGAGTTGTAGTTCACCTGTTTCCAGAGAAATTGTGACCCCCGTCCCACCAAGAATGGTCCAGGACCAAACATGGTACAGAGAAGGCCCAGGACCAACAGAACATCCTGCAGGAGTTTGTGGGAATTGACCTTGATTTTGGGAGGTGTAGTTCACCTGCACCCAGAAAGCCCTGAACCCAACTGACGACTGATCTGGACCATACTTGGCATGCGGACCCAACGTGGCCAAGGTTTGTGCCCTTGGTTTATGTGAGTTGTATTTTGCCAAACTAGTGTATGTGTGTGTGTGTATGTATATATATATATATATATATATATATATATAACTATTATTATATATAATAGTACTATATATTATTATATATAATAGTATATATATTATTATATATAATAGTATATATATTATTATATATAATAGTACTATATATCAGAGGACCTCACTACCTCTGAGGATGCTTGCCATAGATGCAGGCGAAATGTCAGGAGAAAATGCCTCTAGAACATGGCCATATAGCCCGAAAAAACCTACAACAACCCACTATTATTTTGTACTTTTTCTATTACTTTATTTTATATTTTATTATACATATATTAATATATATTATACTATTTTGTATTTTATATTTATATATATATTATACTATTATTTTGTATTTTTATTATTTATATTATTATTTATATATAATATATATTATATTTTAACTAATAATAATGTAAATAACAGAATATTATTTAATATATGTTATACTGTTATTTTGTACTTTTTATTATTTATATTATTATTTTATATATAATATTATATATTATATTTTATATTTTAACTAATAATACAGGTAACAATATTATTTAATATACATTATACTATTATTTTGCATCTTTCCATTATTTATATTATTTTTGTTTAAATATATATAATATGTATATATTATATTTTAACTAATAATAATGTAAATAATATTATTTAATATATGTTATACTGTTATTTTGTACTTTTTATTATTTATATTATTATTTTATATATATATATATATATATAAAATGTATCATATATTATTTATAAAATATGATACATTATATATATATATAAAATAATAATATAAATAATAAAAAGTACAAAATAACAGCATAACATATATTAAATATTGTTATTTACATTATTAGTTAAAATTATTTAACACCAATATTATTTATTATATTAATTTAATATTACTAATATATTCAATTAAGAGTTTTTTTAAAAAAATTATTTATACATATATATAATATCATGTATCATATATTATATTATAAATAATAATATAAATAATAGAGTATTATTTATTACATTAATTTAATATTACTAATGTATTCAATTAAGATAGTTTAAAAATATTTATACATATATATAATATTATGTATCATATTTTATATTATAAGTAATAATATAAATAATAGAATATTATTTATTATATTAATTTAATATTGCTAATATATTCAATTAAGATAATGCAATTAGGTCCTCCCCCAAGTGGGCCTCGAACTTGGGACCTTTGGATTGACTACAGAGGGGGCGTGTCCAGTGACGCACCGTCGCCCTGGCAACGGACGCCCCGCCCTCCGCTCTAGCTCCGTTTCCATGGCGACAGGCTGGCAAGTCAGGCTAGGTTGCTCCGGAATTGGCCACGCCCCTTTCCCCGGCCTGGCCTTGTTTACATAAGAGGCCACGCCCCCCTTGGAGGAAACCAAGCTGCGTTGAAGCAGAGAGAGGAAGCAGGAAGGTAAATACTTTTCCTATGGAGATTTTGCTTAATGCTTTCCTATTGAGGTTTTTTCCTAATGCTTTCCTATGGAGATTTCTTCCCAATGCTTTCCTATGGGGGTTTCTCCCAATGTTTTCCTATGGAGACCCATCTCAATGATTTCCTATGGGGATTTCTTCCCAATGCTTTCCTATGGGAATTTCTCCCAATGTTTTCCTATGGAGACCCATCTCAATGATTTCCTATGAGGATTTCTTCCCAATGCTTTCCTATGGGGATTTCTCCCAATGTTTTCCTATGGAGACCCATCTCAATGATTTCCTATGAGGATTTCTTCCTAATGCTTTCCTATGGGAATTTCTCCCAATGTTTTCCTATGGAGACCCATCTCAATGATTTCCTATGGGGATTTCTTCCCAATGTTTTCCTATGGGACTTTCTCCCAGTGTTTTTCTATGGAGACCCATCTCAATGATTTCCTATGAGGATTTCTTCCCAATGTTTTCCTATGGGAATTTCTCCCAGTGGAGACCCTTCTCAATGATTTCCTATAGAGATCTTTCTTCATGCTTTCCTATGGGAATTTCTCCCAATGTTTTCCTATGGAGACCCTTCTCAATGTTTTCCTATGGAGATCTTCCTTCATGCTTTCTTATGGATATCTTTCTTAATGCTTTCCTATGAGGATGTTTCCTAATGTTTTCCTATGGGGATTTCTTCCCAAAGTTTTTCTAATGCTTTCCTATGGAGATTTCTCCCAATGCTTTCCTATAGGGATTATTCCCAATGCTTTTCTATTTGGATTTCTCCCAATGCTTTCCTATGACATTAATCCTACACACAAACACACACATATATATATAGCTTGGGGACCCGGTGGTGCCCGGGTTAAGTGATAAAGGCATTACTTGTCTGTGATCCAGATTGAGTCTAGATCCAATATGAGCTGGTTCAGTGGGTGCGGGTGAACTACAAATCCCACATGGAAGTCCCATTGTAGATTGTCCATCTTCCATACTGCACCAGGATGCAGAGTGGGTCATGGGGGCTCTGTGTTCCAAGGTGGGTCATGATCAGTCATTGGTGTGGGTCACAGTGGTCTGTGAAAGTGATTGAAGGTACTTAAAGTCCCATCGTCCTTGGTCCGTCATCCCACAAACCACATCAGGACTTAGAAGTGGTCATGGGGGCTCTGTGTGCCAAGTTTGATCTTGATCAGTCTTCGGTGTGGATTGCAGTGGTCCTAAGAAGTGAGTGAAGATACTCCAAGTCCCATCATCCATAGTCCGTACTCTTCCAAACTGCACCAGGATGAAGAGTGTGTCATGGGGGCTCTGTATACCAAGTTTGATCTTGAACAGTCATTGGTGTGGGTCGCAGTGGTGTCAAGAAATGAATGACGATACTGCAAATCCCATCATCATTGGCCAAAACTCTTCAAAACCACACCAGGATGTAAAGTGAGGCTGGAAAGTTGGAAAGTTGAGGCCGGCCAATCAGAGACCATATGCAAATTGTACCACAGTGGCAGCCAATCAGAAAGCTGCTACATACACCTTCCTCTTGTCCTCCCTCCACATACAAACATTCACTTTTATTGTATACTTGCTTGGGGACCCGGCACTGCCCAGGCTATTTGAGAAAGTGGGCAATGGCGGTTCTGTATGCCAAGTTTAGTCTTTATTGGTCAATGGATGATGGTTGCATTTTTTAATAAGTGAGTGAAGGTACTTGAAGTCCCATCATCTATAGTCCACCCTCCTCCAAACTGCAACAGGATGTAGAGTGGGTCATGGGGGTTCTGTGTGCCAAGTTTGGTCTTTATTGGTTATGGATGAAAGTCGCAGTGGTTTCAGTAAGTGAGTGAAGGTACGGCAAGTCCCATCATCCATGGTCCAGCCTCCTTCAAACTGCAGCAGGATGTAGAGTGGGTCATGGGTGCTCTGTATGCCAAGTTTAGTCTTTATTGGTCATTGAATAAGGGGCGCAGTGGTTACAGTAAGTGAATGAAGGTACTTGAAGTCCCATCATCCATGGTCCATCCCTGGCCAAACCACACCAGGGCGTAAAGTGGGTCATGAGAGGTCTATGTTCCAAGTTTGGTCTTGATCAGTCATTGGATGAGTGTCACAGCGGTCTCAGAAAGCGAGTGAAGGTACTTCAAATCCCTCAGGCCCCCTCCTTTCTCCTCTCATCCACTTGATAATGTTAGAATGTTTAGGCTGGCCAATAAGAAACCATATGCAAATTTCCTTTCCCCTCTCAGCCACTTGAGAATGTTGGAATGTTGAGGCTGGCCAATCAGAGACCATATGCAAATTGTACCACAGTGGCAGCCAATCTGAAAGCTGCCACATACACCTCCCTACATCTGCGCTCTGCATACAGACAAACATTCACTTTTATTATATACTTGCTTGGGGACCCAGCGGTGCCCGGGTTATTTGAGAAAGTGGGTAATGGCAGTTCTGTATGCCAAGTTTGGTCTTTATGGACCATGGAGTTTGAAGGACCATGGATGAGGGTTGCAGTGGTTTCAGTAAGTGAGTGAAGGTACTGCAAGTCCCATCATCCATGGCCCACCCTCCTCTAAACAGCAGCAGGATGTAGAGTGGGCCATGGGGGCTCTGTGTGTCAAGCTTGGTCTTGATCAGTCACTGGATGTGGGTCACAGTGGTTTCAGTAAGTGAGTGAAGGTACTGCAAGTCCCATCATCCATGGTCCATCCACCTTAGAACTGCATCAGGATGTAGAGTGGGTCATGAGTACTCTGTGTGCCAAGTTTGGGTTTGGTCTGATATGTAGGGGCTACAATGTTCTGTGGGAAATGAATCGTGTGAAGGTACTGCAAATCCCATCATTCGTGGCCCATCCTGCTGTGAACCACACCAGGTTGTAAAGTGGGCCATTGGGCTTCTGTATGCCAAGTTTGGTCCTGATCTGTCATTGGTGTGGGCCACAGTGCTTTAAGGAAGTGAGTTAAAGTACTGCAAGTCCCGTCATCCATGGTCCATCCTCCCTCAAATTGCACCAGGATGTAAAGTGGGTCTTTGGGGGGGGGGGGGTTCTGTGTGCCAAGTTTGGTCTTGTTCTGTCATTGTTGGAGGCCACAAGGTGTTTTGTACTTCAACTCCAACCATTCCTGACAGCCTCAGGCCCTTTTCCCTCCTTGCCACCTCAGAATGTTGGAATGTTGAAGCTGGCCAATCAGAGACCATATGCAAATTGTTCCACAGTGGCAACCAATCAGAATGCTGCCACATACACCTCCCACCACATACAAACATTCACTTTTATTATAGATTAGCTTGGGGACCTGGCGCTGCCTGGGTTATTTGAGAAAGGAATTGTGTATCAAGGTTGGTCTTTATCAGTTATTTATATGGCTTGCAGTGGTCTCAGGAAGTTAGTGAAGGTACTGCAAGTCCCATCATCTGTGGTCCATCCTCACCAGAATATTGAGTTGACCATGGGGGTCTCTCTGCCAAGTTTGGTCTTTATTAATATTTGGATGAGTGTTGCTGTGGTTTCAGGGAGTGAAGGAACTTCAAGTCCCATCATCCATTGTCCGTCCTCCTCCGAACAGCACTGGGATGTAGAGTGTCTAATGGGGTTTCTGTGTGTCAAGTTTGATCTTGATCGGTTATTAGATGAGGGTTGCAGCAGTCTTGGGAAGTGAGTGGAGGTACTTGAAGTCCCATCATCCATCCTCCAAACAGCACCAGGATGTAGAGTGGCCCATGGGGGCTCTGTGTGCCAACTTTGGTCTTGATCGGTCATTAGATGAGGGTTGCAGCAGTCTTGGGAAGTGAGTGGAGTTACTTCAAGTCCCATCATTCATGGTCCATCGTGCTTGAAACAGCGTCAGGATGTAGAATGGGTCATGGGGGCTCTGTGTGCCGACTTTGGTCTTGATCAGTCATTGGATGAGGTTTGCAGAGGTCTCAGAATGTGAGTGAAGGTACTGGAAGTCCCATCATCCATGGTTCATCCTCCTAGAAGCAGCACCAGGATGTAGAGTGGGTCATGGGGGCTCTGCGTGCCAAGTTTGGTCTTGATTGGTCATTGGATGAGAGTTGGAACAGTCTTGGGATGTGAGTGGAGGTACTTCAAGTCCCATCATCCATGGTCCATCCTGCTGGAAACTTCACCAGGATGTAGAGTGGGTCACGGGGGCTCTCTGTGTAAATTGTGGTCCTGATCCATCATTGTCAGTTGTAATGGTCTTAGGAAGGGAGTGCAGCCAATCTTTGAGTGCCCATCACCTGGCCCTAATCCACTTGCATTATGTGTATATGTTTATCTCCACAAAAAGCAATGCGTTTCTGACATAGAAGAACTTTGGCCTTTCTCTTCTTTCCTTCCTGCTTTTCTTGTTTTTCTTCTGATTGATTTTGTGAACGTTGACCTTTTGATTGACAGATTTTTGACTCATTATCTTTCATTACCTTCTATGGAAAACACACCCAATGCATTGCTTTCAATGAAGATATATATATTCTGTGTGTGTCTGTTGGGAGGGAAATTGGGATCAGAATAGATTACCATTGTTTTAATTTATTATTATTATTATTATTATTATTATTATTATTATTATTATAACACAGCCATACATATACAGCATATTTCAGTAAAAAAATCATGTTATTTTATTACATCTTTGTTATTGTTTTTTCTATATATTATCTTATGATTATGATTTTATATAATTTATTTTATATGCAATTAGATTTCATTTTAGTATTTTATATATCTTTAGGTTTATACTATTTTTTATAATATATTAATAAATATATTATTATATATTATTTTATCCAATTTGTTATTATTTTTTTCATTACTATATATATATATATATATATATTATATGTATACTATTTATACTATTTATATTATTTTATTATTTTATTATTTTATCTCATATATACATACATACATACATACATACAAATATATGCTGGGGAAAATGGAAGGAAAAAGGAAGATGGCCCGACCAAGGGCAAGATGGATGGATGGAT